AAGAGGTGGGAACAGGAGGATCAGCAGTCCAAGGCCATCCTCAGGCACATACGGCATTTGAGGGTACCTCAGGTTATATGAGACCTTTATCTCAAAACAAAAGATGGGGCAAACCAGCTGGCTCAGCACTTGCTGCAGAACCCAACTTTAGCCCCCGGAACCCAGAGCATAAGGCGAGAACTAAGGAAGTTGACCTCTGACCTCCACATGCAATGTGTGCCTGTGTGTGCACACACATACACTATGATAACAGATTAAGCTAAACTCTGAAAGCAAAATGAGATGAAGCCAGGAGATGTGTATGGGCTGGGTGTGTGCGACAAGCCGCCCAGGCTGGACAGAAACTCTTCCTGGGAGACACACACCTCCTTCAGCAACAGGGCCTCTCATCTCCCCGGTGGTCCGTGCTGTCAAGAGGTAGGAGGTGAAGACAGAGATGACCCAGACAGGCTCCTCTCCAGCACCAGGAAGCCATCAGCTCTCACCAGCTGTGTTTCTCTGCAGATATTTCTGAGGAAAACTTTGGTCATAGGTTTAGTTAGTCCCTAGACCTGTTTAGTCCCCAACTGCCTCTGACCACCTTGGTCAGGCTCTGGTGTAAGGAAGAAAGGCCCAACCTCTCCCCAGCCTAAAAGTTTCCTTCCTAAAAGTTTCCTTCCGGTCTCCCTCAAGAATCTCTTATTTGGTGGCTCAGCCCCTACATTGGTTGTTTCTGGTGTTAAAAAATAATCTGCATTCAGGGCTTCTGTTGAAGACCCTGCCCATGCCCACTGAGGCAGGGACAGATTTCACAGATGAAGACACTGAGACTCGGGGTCTCCTGCAGTAAAGAGCAGGGGGCCGTGAGAGCATCCTCAACAAGTGACAACCCCAGACCCTACCCAGCATCTCTCTGTGACTGATTCGCCTTACAGAGAGACAAGTGCAGCCCAGGGAGGTCCAGATACTGTGACTGCCAAGGGAGGGCGTCAATACCACAGAGTCCCCAGGTGATAGAGACAGAAGGAGGAAAGAGCTCGCCGGAGTCAATGCAACGCTGTGGATGGGTGCAAGGTTTATGGACTTGGGAGGACTCCGGGGAGCTGCCTCACACACAGTGAGGAGAGAGGGAGAGGTAGGGCGGGCGGGCTTGAAAGCCCTTTAAACAGGGCACCCGGAATAAAGTAGGTGCTCAGCGAATGGTGGCTAACTAATTATCCCATCCTGTTCTCTCTGGAGGGGGATTTCTGTCTGTGAGAGGGAGGAAGGAGGGAGAGATGCGGTCTTAGGGAGAGCTGCTGAGTGGGGGAGGGCTGCCAGCTCCGGGAGGTAGAGAAACAGTTAGCTTTCTCTGAGGACAGGGCACTGTGACTCGGAGACCCACCCTAAGTGATACAACATGCTCCCTCCCCCTGAGCCCCAGATTCCACCCCTGTCTACTACCTGAGCCCATCAGCCCTCGGTCTTGATTTCACATTAAGGCCTGGGGTGAGGGGCAGCCCCTTCTGTCCTCACCTTCTCCACTGCAAACAGCCTGGGGACGGACTGAACACCAGGTGCTGGGGCTAAGGCATGGTGTGTGGGGCTCAGACTCCCCGGGGGGGGGGGGCTTTCCCTCCCAGCCCCAGCAGGAAGGTGTGGGTAGGAAACTCGAATTTGCAACATTCTCCTGAAGGGGAGGTGGCGTGGCCCCTGCTCTCTGTCCCTCTTCCTTGAGTCTTCAGCCCACCCCACACCCGTCTATTTCTGTCTTCTGCCTGGCTGCTAATGAGTTCGGTGTCCCCCAAACGCCCACCTGGCAGCCACTTAAGGTAATATAGAGAACAGAGGGGGAACAACCAAAGAGGCAGACATAGAAACATCGCCAGCAAGGGAACTGCTGAAGGGGCCGACACCGTGTTCCTCGCTATGTGGCAGATAGCTTCCCAGGCGCTCACAGGAGCCTGGGGAGGCAGGTGAGCAGCGGGGCAGCCTTGAGTGTTTCCATTGTCTTCCTACAGTTTCGTTCAATCCTCCAACAATGGAGGGGAGAGGCAGGGAGATGGAGGCTGGTGAAAACGCGTCTCTCTCCAAGTTAGATGAAGCCAGGTGGGCTTCTCGCCAGGGCTCACACTTTGACCTAAAGATCTGTAATCTTCAGTGCTCAAGGTGGGGAAGGGGTGGGTGTCCTCCCAAAGTACCAGACCCCTTAAGCCAGCTGAGGTGCATTCCCATATCCCCAGTTCTTGTGAGGCAGAGGTGGGAAGAGCTTGAAAGTTCAAGGTCGTCTCTGGCTTCATGGTGAATCTGAGGCAGCCTGGGCTACAGGAGGCACTGCCTCCAAAAGCAGGAGGTGGGGTGGGGGCTGAAATGCAGTGTCCGTGGAACCCCGGTGAGTTCTGTGCCAGTAGCAGGGCCTTGGCACTCAGGACTCTTGTGGTCTGGCTCCGCCCACTGCTTTCTGCCTCCTGGCCAGGCCCTTCCTAGAGAATATCCCTGCTCTGCAGCTTTGGGTTTACAGTGTCAGGTTTGAGGATCCTGAGGAATCCCTGGAGCACGGGAACATGGAGCAGAGGACGGCTTCCCCCAGAGAGCAGCCTTTGACCCCGCAGATATAGGAAAGCTACCTTGAAGCGTCAGGTTAGGCGGGAGCAGCCTGTTCCATGTAACTGGAAGGATAGACGGTAGCTGGCTAAGTGGAGAACTGGATGGATGGGTAGACAGGCTGACAGATGAATACAAAGATAGATGGGTGGATAATTGATTGGTATGTAGAGGCTGAAGGTGATGGATGGACAAACGGACATTTGGCACTACAAGTGTGTGGATTTTTGTGCTGTGCTTAGTTACCAATTCCACGTGCCTAAAAGGTGGCTGGTGCAGTAGTGCTTCTGAAGGAGTGGGGGGGCAGACACTACCCAACACCTCAGTGAAGCTCCTGTGCTTTTGTGTGGCCTGAGGGGCCACTCGGGGGCCCTTTCGCCGGCCATGGACTATTGGGTCCTCCTTGCATTGGCTGAGAGCGTCCTTTCGCCCCCTGCTGCTGGCAACGTGAAACAGCATTGCCCAACACTTAATCTCCATCCTTGTTTTCCTTCTGGCAAATAGTCCAGAATGGAGTTCTCAGCTTCTTGTGCCCATGAGCATTCTCCGAGGCCACCCATCTGTGACACCAGAGATGCTAGCTGGAAAGTCAGAACTTCTCAGCAGCTGCCAGGACAATTTGAATTCCCAACAATCAGACCCTCCTCGGAGAGGCCCTGACCAGGGGAAGTTGCTGCAGTAGCTGGAAAGAGATGCAGTCTTGCCTTGGGGCTATCTCTGAATTGTCAGAAAGTGTCCAGAGTGTGTGGGAAGAGGCCGAGTCAGAAGGGTTAAGAGCTGTGGTTTGGCCAACCAAGATAATGGCACTTACCTGTAATCCCAGCACATGCGAGGTAGAAGCAGGAAGAACAGGAGTTCGTGGCTTAGAGCAAGTTTGAGTCTAGCCTGGGCTACACAAGACCCTATCTAAAACAAAAAACAAATAGCAAGAAAAAAACAAGCAACCCAGTGGTTTTAAATGGCCCCTTGAGACAGGAGAGAAGAGAAGATGGACAAAGGAGGCACTGAGCTGGCCACCTGGGGCCCGTCAGCAAATACTGATCAGTGGATGGGTTGCTTCCTCAGCCTGCTTCCCTCACTTCCCATTTCCCCTCAGGCAGTGATGGCTGCCTGGAGATTTGATTTCTGCATTAGAACAGGAGCCCTGGGAGGTGTGTTTTATCTCTGCATCTCAGCTTGAGCTGGAACACAGCTGGTCTCCTTTAATATTCCTTGGGGAGAGTGAGATGAAGGGGTTTGGGCAGCCACGTCTCTGAGGTTTCCTCTGGACTTGTGGGAACCCACAAACCCGCGCATGCATATTTGACAAATAGAGACAAAGCTTGTGTAGAGAGGGAAGAGCAAGCAGCTCCGGCCTGCCCACCTGGCAGCTTCTACGCACAGATTCAACCAACCGTGGGGAAAAAAGCCAGTGAGGGGAAAAATGCCTGGGGCTGGGGAGATGGCTCAGTTGATAAAAAAAAATTGGCCACCTAAACATGGTAATCTGAATTCAGAGCCTCATTGCTGGGAGGGCAGAGGCAGGAGGCTAGCTGGAGCTCCCTGGCCAGGCAGTGTTGCTGAGTTAACTTCCAGTTTTGTGGAAAAGATGGTATCTCAAAACACAATAGGGGGAGAGTAACTGCAGAAGTTATTCAGCATCGACCTCTGCTCTCCAGACACACAGCTACTACCCACTCAAACACACCCTTACAGATGCACACACACTCAACACGCACACACACCCGTTTATACTGAATGCCTAGAAAAGTCCTCCTTTGCCAGTATTGTCTTTAGTGCCTTGTAAAAAGAACTTGAACGCAGACATTGTGTTAGGTGGTCTAGGATACGTGAGGTGTTTGGAAACCCGCAGGAAGGTGTGTGCAGATCCTAAACAAACCCCAGCCCCCAACCCAGTAGGATTGAAGCACCGAATTCCAGTGTGGCAAAGAGTGCAGGCGGGGTTCCGGAGCCCTGGAGCCCATGCAGCCCTGCTCTCAGGGTGCTTCTGCTGCTGCTGCTGGCCTCCAGTCTTCTCTGGGCCTTTGCGCCCCCTCCTGAGGCCTCTCGGGATCTCTTTACAGTCCCTGCTTTGGTAGGGGCCTCATGCCTGTGTCCACTACTGTGTTGCAGGTGGTAGCCCGGTGCCCTGAAGCCTGACCAGATGGAGGCCTCCCAGCACGTGTCCCCAGAAGGTGGCACACAGCTCGGTCGCCCGCTGGAGCTAGAGGAGAGGGCAGCATTAAAGCCCTCGGTGAACTAATCCGGCACAACAGCCCAAGGGGCTGAGAAGGGGCCTGAGTGAGCAGAAGCGGTGGGGCTCCGTTCCCCAGTCCCTGTCACCAGAGTTCTTTAGCCACACTCTGGGTTGAGGAACAAGATGTGGGGAAAGGGGACCGTGTCCTGTACTTCGTCTTTCTTGGCCCCGGGCAGCTCTCCTTAACCTTGGGACACCGGCAACCTCTGTCCTCATCTCCTCCGGACTCAGCCAGGTGCTGACCTGCTACACTGTCTCCTCTGGTGGAGGGATCAGAATACCACAGAGTTTCATCCCTGTGGAGTTCCGGGAAGCCACGCCCTCCACGCCCCTTCCCAGCCATCAGCCCAGCCAGCCCTGAGCCAGTCCGGAATGATCCGGCTATGGCCAAGCTCTGGTTCAAGTTCCAGCGGTGTTTCCGATATTTCCGCCGGAAGCCCGTGCGCTTCTTTACCCTGCTGGCTATATACCTGACCGCCGGGAGCCTCGTCTTCCTGCATTCGGGCTTCGTGGGCCAGCCTGCTGTGCCCCAAAGCCAGGCCAGCCCCGCGGCGGGGAGCCCGGTAGAAGCGGAGCTGCCCTTCCTGGGTGACCTGCACTTGGGCAGAGGTTTCCGGGACGCCGGGGAGGCCTCCAGCATCACGCGCAGGTACGGACCCTCGCTCAAGAGCAAGGACACCAGCGAGAGAGCCAAGCTGGGCGACTACGGAGGAACCTGGAGCAGAGCCCTCAAGGGGAGGGTTGTCCGGGAGAAGGAGAAGGAAAAGGAGGAGGAGAGAGGTAAGAGTCTGGAGGGACTGAGGGAGGAGGGAAGAAAACACAGAACACAAAGAATAACAGCCAGCAACTGGTCACGGAGCTCCAGACCCTCGTGGATGTGGGAAATTTGCACTGTCATCCACAGTGAGCAGGTTACACAGCTCCTCAGTTGGCAGGGTCCATTTGAACCTTTACACTGGCCTCGGTTTACAGTCCCTGTGCCCTTTACCACAGCTGGTTAAACACACAGAAATGCCAGCATCAGTGTTTCTAGAACTCTTGAGTGTCCTGGGGTCAGCAGTGAACACGTGCTCAACAGAGTTGCTGTGCTTCCTGTCGTTAGGGAGGTGGCTGGGCCAGGTGATGCCTATTGCCATTCCTGAGGTTGAGAGGCTGAGCTAGGAGGAGCTGGAGGCTAGCCTGGGCTATATGAGACTCTGTCTCAAAGGGAAAAAAAAAAAAAAAAAGGCACCAGGAGCTCAGGATCAGTGGCAGCTGCTTAGCAAAGCGAAGTCTGTACCAAACAGCTCTGCATCTGCTGCACTCCGGCCTGGCAAAGACGCTCCAGGCGCTAACACAGCCCTGGGTAAATTCCGTTGCCTTGTCACAGTCTCTCAGCCTTTTACACCCAAAAGGATTCTGATTATCGGTACATGTCACAGGCTTGAACAGGGTGCAGATGAGCTCATGCATGTTTAGCAGGTGTGCAGGGCTGGGGGCGGGTTGCTCAGTGGATAGAGCAGGGTTCCCAGGGAGGGCAGGGCACGTCTGTAATCCCAGCGCTAAGGTAGAAGCAGGAGGATCAGAAGTTCAGGGCCATTCTTAGCCACATAGGAAAGTGGAGGCCAGCCTAGGCTAGGAGACCCTGTCTCACAAACAGATGCCACAGGAGGGATGAGCAGCTAAGAGCAAAATCACCTGTAGAAGACCCAGAGTTCCAGTCCCAGCACCCATGTCAGGTGGTTCATGGCTACCTGTAATCCCAGCTCCAGGGGGATCTTATGGTCTCTGGCACATAGCCACCACCACACACACCACCACACACACCACCAAAAATAAGTTAAACTAAAAGCAAGCAGGCACCAGGTATGGAACCTGGAGTTTAAGCCCCATCTGCCCAGATGTTTGGCTTCCTCTGAAGGCGTCACCATTGCACTGGCAGCTACCAGTGACCAGCAGGCTGGGAGACCTTCCATAGCCACAGCTCATGGTATTAATATGGGAGGATGTTCAGGGAACCCTGTGAGGATGGGGTGAGAGGATGGATTGGTTCCACAAGCCTTAGAGTGCCATTGTAGGAAGCCCTTCTCCACCCTCCTCTGCCCCCTGAAGGTACAGGATTCACAAAGGGACCCATCCTAGGAACAGGGACAGGTGGCCTTGAACCTGGCTCAGAAGCTGTGTAGGAGACTCCTACTTTCCAGCCCTGTGAGAGACCTGGAGCTCACAGAAGGGAGGAGACAGAACAGGCTTGGCCTAGGGTACCAGTCCCAGCTTAACCATCCATTTACGTCTCAGATTCCCTCCTCCACTGTAGCCCACTGCCCTTCTTGCTGTCCACTGAGTGCCCTGCTGTCTTTGCTCAGGATCTCAGCCCATTCAGCCTACATCTGCATAGCTCCCCATGTCCCTTCCTCCTCCCATAGCTACGTCCCGGAATGTCCCAACCATCTTCACCTCATGCCTCGTCACAGTCACACACACACACACCCATCCCCCCAGATTTACTCTGTTGCCACACAGCACCGGGCAGAGGCCTGTTGCTTGAACAGCTGGGCCTCTGATCCAGGAGGGCAGAGGTGTTCCAGTCTTGGCCAGCTCAGCCCGTCAGCACCCGGGACAGCGCAGGTGCGCCTCTGTAGCTTACCCGGTATGGATGGATGAGTAAATGAACGGGCGACTCTCCCTCTGCCAGGAGACCTCCATTTCAGCTTTGTCCACACCCAGAACACCGCCCCATCCAAGTCTGATCAAAGGCTCTTTTTCTGCCCTGTGCCATGTGGTAGCCCTTGTGACAGTGGATCTGCGTGACAGTGTCCCCGTGGGTTTGTGAGAATCAAATGCAGTCAGCGCTCCATAGCTGAGGGTTCATACCCTGAGATTCAGCCAACCACAGACCAAAAAAAGACCTAAGGAAAAAATGTATTTGTATGGATCACACCCTGGCTATCCCCCTTGTATTTTCAGTGTTCACACCACGTTAGGGACTAAAGCCATTTAGAGAGAACTGCTGAGCATGTGAGGGAGGAAGGGTCTGAGTCCTGTGCAGATACTGCACTTCATAAATGTGGGGGATGCTGGACCCCACCGCTGTGGGATAGATACTGGGAGACCACTATGTGGCCACTATGGCTGTTGACGGGAGTGATGCCATTTGCTGAGCACCTGCTCCATGCGCGACACGCCTGGCACACCCTCTGGTTTGTGATGTCACTTAACAGCTGCCCCGTGGCTGGTACTGGTATGTGTTCTCAGTGGTCGCTGCGGGCTGGACCATGTTGGAGCAACTCATTGCTTTACCTCACTAGCACCGCTCCATGAGTTAGAGGCCATTTTGCACGTGGCTCGTGATGGCTACACTGGTTGTTTGCAGAAGAGCTGGAGTCCGAAACAAGAGCCACTGGTTTCCAGAGCATGCGAACCTTCTTCTCGATGCTGCGCGCGGCCCAGCACACTGAGCTTGTACATATTTTGTGAAACGCAGAGAGAGAAGGAAGAGCATGTAGAAAAGCGGCCCCAAGCTCTGGGCCCTCGGCAGGCAGCCTCGGAGACAGGCAGTGTCCTCCTTGTTGAGGGACTTACTTGGAGTTCAGCATCTTAGGTCAGCTCTCAGAATGCTGCTCTGGCCTGACGCTGGAGCCTGAAGCCTGGCTCTCTTCCAAGCCACTGGAGACCTGCAGGTCGTGGGCATGCAAGACTTGATCCTCAGAGCCCTGGGACTGTAAAGGGGAGGGAAAGAACTGCAGCCGGTGGAGCTGGCACCCGGCAAGAAGTCAGATCCCTGGGTGCAGCCAGCATCTTTAGTTGGAGGGCGGCCCCAAACCAACAAGGTTGATGGCCTGGTCAGAGGATGACCACGTGACCAAATGAGATGAACTGAGGACGCTGGTCAGAGCGTGTGGCACCTGTGGATGGGACGGATGAATGGGTGGAGGTAATGATAGGTGCACAGTGTTCGAGTCCCGTTCACAACAGAAGAAAAATGTACCCCTGCCTGGGCTCAGCCGCCCTCTTAGCAAATGGCCTCCATCAGAGAGGAGGGCCTTCCATAAAAAGATTATTAAGAGCATAAGAAAAAGTGTGAGAAGAGGAGGTTGTTACATTCTGGACTCTGAGCTGGAGATAAATCACCAGTCTGCATCCCGTAGCTATTTCATTGGTCTCTAGGGCCCTGGAGATGCTGATGGATTGTGTAAACTCAGCCATTAATCCCCCTTGGTGTGGCCTGTGACTAGGCACTGTTTTACACACCTCACCTCTGAGAGCTTCTGCCACTGCAGTGGGATTTGAGCACAGGCCCTGGGAAAGGTCCGGTGTTTGGCAATCACATGGCTGAGCTCAAGCTTGGCAGTGCCATGAGGTTCCGGTTATAGGGACCAGAGAAGCTGGCAGGGAGGAACCACCAGGCCCTTGACGTTGACTTCATTGGGCAATGGTGTGTGAAATGCCCATGTTCAAAACATCCAGAGGACCTTGTATCTCCTCCTGTTGACAGATAAGGAAACAGACACTCAAGTGTTCCTTCAGTAGATGTGTGTACCTGCTGTGTGGGACATCTCAGCTTAATGCTGGCCCGGGGAGGAGTCATGCAGCTTTCAGTACTCCAGATAGACCCCTGGGTTTCCAGAGCCCTGGGTTCCATCCCCCGTGTCACACCACACAAACTGAAAAAGCACTCTCTGCCATAGTGAGCATGTCATTTCAAACTAAAAGTGCAGGTTTGGGGGAGAAGGACATATGAGCCAGTACTGACTGTCACTGCAGGAGCCCTTCCTCTCTGGTCCTCCACCCTGGCGTATGAGCAGAGTGGAGAAGCCTCCACTGTCCTGCCTCTAAAACAGCGCGTTGGAGGTGACAGACCTCCAGGTTTGCTCCAGGACCTCCTTGTGGATGGATTCACCAGGTCAATGAGCTTTAGCATCAGAGTCCTGGAGAATGTCCGTCTGTCCTGCCATGCCACCAGCCTGCAGAAAGGCTCTGAACCTGGGCTTCAACATTTCTTAATCACACACCTTTAATCCCAGCACTCAGGGAGGCAGAGGCAGGTGGATTACTGTGAGTTCAAGGACAGCCTGGTCTACAAAATGAGTCCAGGACAGCCAAGGCTGCACAGTGAAACCCTGCCTCAAAAAAACAAAACAAAACAAAACAAACCACATTTCTTAATGCTCTCTCCTCTCTCACCCCTCTCTATATCTGTGTCTCTGTCTGTCTCTCTGTCTCTGTCTTTCTCTCTCTCTCCTGCACACACTGAACTTGGTACAAGGGACTATAACCATTGGCATCTTTGGTATTATGGAATGCCATTGTCATGAGGCAGGGAAGGCAGGTGCCAGCATGGCCAGCTTTAATATTTAAGGGTTCAGAGCATGGACCTCATGCCCTATCTTGAGTCCAGCAGGCTCGTGGGTGGGCATTGCTACTGACCCCAGCTTGGCTGGGTACCCCTGTGGGGAGGGCAGGTAAGATCTGTGTGTAAACTGGCCCTCAGGAGGGGACGGCAAAGGATGTCAGTGTCCTGATGATTGGCTTTCTGCCAGTGAAGTGGATCTCCATGGGGCTGGAGATCCACTTAGTGGCTTAGTGGTTAGGAGCATGGGCAGCCCTTGAGGAGGGCATGAGTGACATTCCTAGCACCCACATCAGGCAGCTCACAACCTCCTGTAACTCCAGGGGATTCAAACCCTCTTCTGGCTTTGCTGGCACCTCAGTGTACACATGCCATTCACACACACACACACACACACACACACACACACACACACACACTGGCTTTGCAGGCACCTGGACACACATAACATTCTCACACACACACAAACACACACGAATGCACACACACACATGCATGTAGACATACTTTAAAAATGGCTTCCTTAAAAAAAAAGAAAAGGTTTGTAAAGTTTGAGAAGGCCGAAAGCGTGGCTCTGTGGTAGAGGGATGTCTGAGTATGTGTCGAGCCCTGGGTTTTCCCTGAGACAGAAATAAACAAAGACCCACCATCCTTAGGTGCCCAGTCCTTTAGCAGAGGCCCAGAACGAAACACGTGTGCATGGCCCTGCGCTGCGCCCTGCAGCGCCCTCTCCGCTGAGATTCTCTCTGAGGCACGAGGCATTTGGGATGTCTAGCAAGAACAACAACCACCAGGACCCTGAAAGGCTATCACAAGTGATGGGTGGGCTCACGGGGGGGCAGCGATGCTCCCTTTGAAGCCAGACTGTTCTCAGCAGAGCCCATCACCTCTGCTGTACGAAGGAAGTCCAGGTCACCAGGACGGAGACCAGCGTCCAGCAGAGTTGACAACTACAAGTGGTGGACAGAGCCCTGCTCCCCAGTACAAGGACAGGAAAAGGGCCTCCTCCCATTTAACCTGGGGGGCCTCCTAGGCAGAGGAAGTGTCAGATGGTATTCAGGTTTTCCTGATCACTCCCTGGGAAGGCCATTTAATCCCAGGATCTAGCTGGATCCAACTCTTTAAAGAGAAGGGGCAGAAAGAGCCAGTGTGGGTCCTGTAGACCTACGTTCGAGTCTTCATCCAGCTTTGAGCTGGGTCTCTCCTCTGTAGGGCGGGAGAACGCCAGGTCTGTCCAGCATACAGGAATATCCCAAACATACAGAAGAGAGAGCTGGAACCACGCTGTGTGTGTCTAACTCTGGCCTCGTTTACACAAGCTGTGTTACCCTGAGCAGATAGCACCCTCTCTGAACCACAGAGCACAGATAATATCCTCACAGAGTCTCAGTGAAAATTCAGTGAGTCATGTGTATGAGGCACTTACCATAGCATTGGGGAAATGTTAAGAAAAAAAAAGATTTTGCACAAACTGTAAGGCGCTGTCTTTGTGTCTGAGTCAGTGTTGATGCCTGTGTGGTTCTTAGATACCATTTGAAGTGATTCTTGGCACAGAAGCATCTGCCCATGTCCCCCAGAGAGACAAACTGTGAAGTGTTTTAGCCAGCCCATTGAATGGGCACTTTCTTACCCTGCTAACCAGAACTCTGAACCTAGCACACACAGGACAGTATAACCGGGGCGGGGGTGTTCGTGACTCATCCCACTCCAGCAGACCGGTGGGTGGCTTCATCCCCACTGCAGGGGGAACAAGGCCATCCAACCCCATCTAGACCAGATGGGGAGTAACAGTGAAGTGAGGTCGAACCTTGAGTCATCCAAGTGCGGTGAGACCCTTGAGGCAGCCTGCGGACCGTCCACAGACACTAAGACAGGCCTTGTCCTGGGTAGTGTGGGGCTCCTCCTGAGCTAGGGGAATGCCCCAGTGCCCACTGTCACCAGAAAACCCCTGCCCTTGGCTGTGCCCAGGGAAGGGGGTCCCTCTGGTGCCCTGTGTCTTCAGGACCTGCAACCTTACGTTGGTCCCCATTGCCCTGATTGGCCAAGGCCCGGGATTTCCCATCTCCTGTGTGTGCCCTGAGGATGGACCTAGGTACCACACACTTGGCAAAGCCACACAGCAAGGGGCGCACGGGGCCCTCCTCCTGCATCCCTCCAGCTTCATCCTCAGCTGTACTTACACACTCTTCCTCTTTCCCCACAGCCAAGTACATCGGCTGCTACCTGGACGACACTCAGAGCCGGGCTCTGCGAGGTGTGTCCTTTTTCGACTACAAAAAGATGACAGTCTTCCGTTGCCAGGACAACTGTGCTGAACGGTAGTGCGCCCCGCCCCACCGCTGCCACCCCACCCCCAGACATATCCCTTCCAACCCTTTCCACCCGGTGTTCCTTCTTGGTGCCCTTTGCCTTGCCTTGTCAGAGGGTGAACAAGGGGGTGTGAAAAAAAAGAGGACTGCAAGAGTGGTTGATTTGTGTGTGTGCACACCCATGTATGCATGGATTCATATGTGTCTGGGCACATGTGTCTGCATGGGTATGCACATACATGCGTGGCAAGCAAACATGGTCTGTGGGAGCGTGACTGTGCGGCTGTGTGGGCCGGACCGAGGAGCAGGCTGTAAGGTATGGTGTTTGTGGTCAGCTGGTTATGTGGGTGAGGTTAGTCCTGGCACCCGACTGTCTCTGAGAAATGCTGGTCGTGTCATCGAGAGTCTTTGCAGCCCTCCTGCCTTGGGCCCCCGAGTCACTCGGATTGCAGGCCTGTGCCATCATGCCTGCTTTTAAACTCCACCTCTTATAAAAAGGCAGTTTGCTAACTCGTTGCGGACTCCCAGCTCTCCCCAGCCAGGAGGCCAGCCACCATACAAGCCCCTTCCTGGATGCTGGTGAGCCCTCTCTAGAACAGCGTCCCTCCTCCTCAGCCTTCATCCCTTCTGGCTCTGAGTTCCAGGCTGTCCCTTGTTTCAGACCTGATAACATACGTCCTTGGGGAATTTTGCTGCTGCCAACAGGTTCCTTTGCAGGAGAGGGGGTTCAAGGGATGCATAAGAAGCAGGCTCAGAGGGAAGGGACATGGAGGCAGTTCCTGCAATGAGGTTCCAAGATGCCCATGTCAGCCGCCCTTGCCTTCTCTTCCAGGAAGAGCAGGTAGATGGGACAAGAGTAATGCCACCAGGTCACCAGGGCTCTCCAGGGCATGTGCGGGCCCCGGTCTGGGTGGCTCTGCCTGTCTCCCCAGCACTGCGTGGGGATCCGGGAGATAGGCCTTGTCATCGGCATCTCCTCCAGGGATGTTTCTTGCAGGCTGCTGTCTAAGGAGCCCCCGTGACTCTGGGAGCATGGTGGCCAGGGGGCTGGCTGACAAGGCTTCCCCCTCCCCAAATTCTCAGCCGGAGCCAGCAGCCTCCTTCCATGTGTTTAGACTGGTGTCCACTGAGCGGCCTTTTTAGGAAAGGATTCCACGGCTAGGAAAAAAATAGCATACCCTCACAGCTCCTGGAATTTTGTTTGGCTTTGTTTTCAGGGAAGAATTTTTTTTTTTTTTTTCTTGGCTGGGTATGTAAGCTTGGTTTTGTAGCCTGCCAAAGGGATACAAGCACCCTCCCTCCTCCCCTTCCCCATTGCTGCTTAGTGAGGTGTCACCCTGGGGGGCTGTTTCCTGGAAGGGAGAGGTTGGGTCCTTCAGAGGTGAAAGGAGTGGGGGAGGGACAGGGTGGCAGTAATGTGTGTGTGTGTGAATATATTTGAATATTGTGAGTGTGTGTGTCCCGAGTGTGTGTTGGTAACTGTGTGTGTATATCTGTGAATGTATAAATGTGTAAGAGTGAGTGTGTGGATGTGTGAATGTTTCTGTGCACATGAGTGAATGTGTGTGTGGATGTGTTTATGTGTATGCACGAGTTAGTGTGTGGATATGAGTGAGTACCTGTGGAGGTATAAATATGTGTGTGTACAGAGTGAGGGGGTGTGTGTGTGTGTGTGTGTGTGTGTGTGTGTGTGTGTGTGTGTGTGTTATGCATGAGTGTACTAATGTGGGCATGGAGAGGGTAGTATAAGGGTCAGAACACATCAGGCAGTGATGAGGGCTGATGAGTGTCCCCAGGGGTCGCTGACTCCCCACGCTCTGTGACTTCCAGAAGGTTGTCCTGCCCTTTGGAGTGGGTGTGACCCCATTTCCTCCTCCAAGCTCCCTGCCCCTTGCTGAAGTCCCCCCCCCCATGCTCTCCTTCCTTGGTGTCCATGCCTCCTGGAGACACTGTGCAGTCCCCTGTCCCCTGGGGGTCCCCCTGGTGGCATCGCCCCTCCTGACAGCAGCCTCCCACAGGGGTTACCTGTATGCTGGGCTGGAGTTCGGAGCCGAGTGCTACTGCGGCCACAAGATCCAGGCTGCCAACGTGAGCGAAGCGGAGTGTGACATGGACTGCAAGGGAGAGCGCGGCAGCGTGTGTGGCGGCGTCAACCGCCTGTCCGTCTACCGGCTGCAGCTGGCCCAGGAGTCTGCCCGAAGGTGTACGTGAGTTCGGGACACCAGTGTCGGCCGGTCCCCCACTGCCCGCTCTGCGGGTCCTGATGGGCTCAGCTTCAATGTGCTAGAGCAGTGTAACCAAGACTGCAGAGTTCAAAGCCCTTGTTCTTTCCTGAGCACTTTATACAGAGTAGCTCATGTCATCCTCACGGTGACCCTTGAAATAGGCGGGAGGAAAGCCAGACCTGGTGGCGGCGCAGGCCTGACATCCCTGCTACTGGGGAGGCTAGGGGGAATGATTCTAAGTCGAGGACAGCCTAGGCGACAAGAGGAAGTTTGAGGCCAGCCTGGGCAACATAGGGAGAACCAGTCTCCAAAACATTTAAGGGATGGGAAGGTGCTGGGTGTGTATCTTAGGACAGAGCACTTGTCTGTCATATGCAAGGCCCTGGGTCAGTCTTCAGGACTGCAAATAAAAAGAGAGGAAGAGGGAGGGAGGGATGCAGGGAAGGAGAGGAAGAGGGAGGGAGGGAAAGGGAAGAGAAGAAGAGGAAGAGGGAAGGAGGGAGGCAGGGAAGGAGAGGAAGAGGGAGGGAGGCAGGGAATGAGAGGGAGAGGGAGGGAGAAGGAGGGAGGGACTTGAAAAGGGAGGTTGGAAAGCATGAGACACTGCTTTGACCCACTCCCACTTGTGGTGAGAAACCTGCCTCAGTGCCACAGCCACAGTGAGCAGTGGGGACCTTCTCCAGCTCAGCACACTTCTCTGCTCCTCCAAAAGCTTCTGCAAGGCTCGCTAGCGTCCCCAGCCAGAGTCTTGCTGGGAAAACTCTGCAGTTCGCAAACCAAGGAGAGGACGTGGTAGGAGAGGCGGGGACATCCTTTCTGTGGTCATTGTCCTGCAGCTCCTTCCTGAAGCCTGAGCCTCCAGAGCAGGTGGGGTGACAGGCCTGAGATACAGACCCAGTTGGGTTCCATACCCGGACGGTGCCCACAAGCCGTTCTAGGCTGTTGGTCCATAGCTCCTGTCCTCTGTACGTGAGTTCTTTCACGGGTGTGTTGGCTGCGGCCTCACATGTGGCCGGCTGTAGGGATAGGGCATCTTCTCAGAGGGCGTCTCTGTCATAGTCTGGCACATGGCAGTATGTTCAGGGCTTGAGAGCCTGGACCTCGGTAGCCTCGTGCAAGCTGTGCGCCTCAGCGAGCAGCGTTGAGTGTGCCGTCGTTTTTCAAATGTGCCTAGTCACCTTGGCTCAGGTCTGAAGGCCCTGCCGGCAAAGCGCAGAGGTGGGAAACCTCAGCTGGAGAGAGCCAGTGCAGTGGGCGGGCTTGGGTCTCTGACCATTGGTGCAGCGGGGTTCTAAATCAATGGCAGCTTGCACGTCCTCACAACTGGCCACATTTGTACTGATATTCAAGAGGCTATAGTGGTGACACTTTGGCCATCTGAAGAGATGACCTCAGAGTATTGCAGCCACTGGGATGATGCTACCGCTGACTGCAGATGCGGCTGGGATGGTGGGAAACATTTCAGTGGTGTGTCTCGCTAACTAGATAACCTGGGAACCTCCTCGGCCCCAACCCCGCTCTGGTTCTGTGGTGTGACACTTAAAGGCATATCAGCTAGATGAGGGGTGTAACAAACACACGGTGAGTGAGCTGGTGAGCTCTCTTGTGTGAGGTGATCTTCACTCATACAGAGAGGACAGGGGAGGCCAGGGTGGCGTCTCCCTCCTTCCCCCCCGCCCAGCCTGCCCATGCTGTGGTGGCAAAAGACCCCTGGGCGGAGCACCATACTGCCTGGGAAAAGCATCCTTGTGTTGTATCCTGTCCAGAAGGAGATGGGGCCATTTCTACTGAGAGCAGAGCTCGGCAGCGGTTCCCAGCCTTCCTAACGCTGCGACCCTTTAATACAGTTCCTCGTGTTGTGGTGACCCCCCCCCAACTGTAAGATTATTTTCATTGCTACTTCATAACTGCACTTTTACTATTGTTATGAATCCTAGTGTAAATATCTGATGTGCAGTCTATCTGATATGTGACCCCTGTGAAAGGGTTATTCAACCCCCAAAGGGGTCACGACCCACAGGTTGAGAAGATGTTTCCAGTGTGGTCTGCACAGTCTGAAGCCTTTCACGGGGAAACTGAAGGAAAGCCCAAGCCTAGTTATGAACCTCAAGGCTGCTTCTCCTGAGACTAGAATGGAGGCGGTGTGGGTAAGAAGACAGGCGGTTGCAGTTGACAGATATCCAGCCGAGATGCCTGCTAGGCTCTCACTCAGCAGTGTGGTGTATGGAGAAACTGAAACAGGGAGCTGTGCATTTTCTTGTAGACTCAGTGTGGGAGGTGCAGGCTCTCTTCCAAGGAGGCCGCAATCCTGGGGTAACAGTTGGCTGCTAGTTGGGTTGAGTCAACGGTCCATATTCAGTGAATGCCTTGTTGGAAGCACCTTCCTCGTCTGTCTCCATTATATGTACACTTGTGGAAACTGAGGCATAGAGAGCAGAAGTAGCCCTGTGGAACACCCTGGGTGATGCCATAGAAGAGAACACATTTGGTGGGGTTCTCACGGTGGATAAAGCTTCGTTCACCTGGTAGAGAAGGAAAGGACACCCAGACTTGAGACACATGACAAGGAACCCCAGGGAAATCTAAGCAAATGGCCTGGACCTGGACCTGGAAAAGCCTGGTTGCGCATCAGGAATGGCGATGGGCACTTCTTTCTGATGCCCAGGTGCCTTCTGGGGGATCTAAAGGGTGGCTGGAAACAGGTTTCTGACTCCCGATTGGAACATTGCCAGTTCTGCAAAGACTCAGCTTCAGCCCAACTCCTTTGCTGACCCCTGACCCCCTTTCCTGTCTCCTGCCTCTAAGACTTACGACATCTCTGCTTCCTTTGCTCTGACTCCAGAGTGCCCTTGACTCCCATTGCTGGGATCTGCTTCCGCCATAAACAACTCAGAAAGGTGTGTCGTCCAGGTCACTGGCTCACAGCCAACTCAGTGTGGGTGACACAGGTGAAGAAGTGAGAGAGCCTTTCTGGGAAATGGAGAAGGTAGAAACAGGACTCCATTTGCAGAGTCTCTTGAGAACTCACACAGAACACTTCCAATCAGAAGATCCTCCAGGGGCTTTTTTTTTCTGAGTGCCACCCTGGTGGGCTGGGAGGGATTGCTTGTTCCTGCAATAGGGCTGTTCCTGGTGGGCTGGACCAGTCTCTGCTGGTGCCCTGCCGTTCTGCCTTGACGAAGGCCCCAGGGCACACAGATTCACTCTTGGTCCAAAAGAACCAAGAAATGGACTACCTTCTTGGTGAGATTGCATTTGTCACAACGGTTTGCTAAATGTGCCGTTGAGTTCAGCTTTCTCCCCTGAGGGAGAGACCAGCTGGTAATTGGAGAACATTGTGATTTTATAGGAGGTTGCGAGAGAGTCTGTATGCCTGAGGATGCTTGCAGGATTTAGGTGGAGAGGATCCAGAGCGCTGTCCGTGGTGCTGACAGCCATCGGGTGCATTTCAAACCCTGTGACTGCCACCCAGCGCTGTTGCTGGGCTCAGCCCTTTTCTTCCTCTCTCCCCTTCTCCTTCTTACCATCTCTTCGCCCTGCCTCTGGTTCCTACTCTGACCTTGCGCTCTCTCCTGCTCTGATGAGGTATTATGAAATTCACAATAACACTGAAGAACCCAATACCCAGCGAATACCTCCCAGCTGGATAGTAGATTTTGCCTGGGATTGATAACCCTGGAGATTCCCATCTCTGAGAGTTGGAAGAATTCTGGGATGGGTGTATGCACTCTCTGTCCATTGGTACTTTCTTCCTACCACCCCTACCTCCAGCTTGTCCAGGAATCTCGTGTCTCTTTGGATGGATCTTGCCAGCTCCTTCTCTGCCAGACTCTAACATATGGCACTGGTGGATGCCACAGTATTGGGAGGCAGGGCCAGTCGTAACAGGTGGACTCAGCCTGCACCTCTCCACACAATTCCCGAAAGCAGGCAGGCAAGGCGAGATGTGTGGATTTTTCCACTCCGATTTCTGTTTCTTTGCTACACTGACTCTGGCCGAGCTGCAGATCCATTCTGAGTCTCTGATCATGGTCTGTAAATTGGGGACAACTTGAACCATCTCTGGGACCACCAAGCAAGTGAGGGTCCAGACAGATCTGCATGGCGCATGCTGCTCCTGACGGAGTCCCCGACTTTGCTCTGAGAACTACCCAGTTCAAGCTTCTTGGATTTCCAACATCCTGGGGACCTTCTGGTGATGTCTACAAACAGCGGCCTTGAACCTCCCCTTGGACAGGGAGACCCCTTCTGTAATCAATGCCTCTCTGACTGTAGGTATCTCATTGGCTGAGGCCAGCAAGTAGCATCCCCTAGCCAGCATTTTTAGTGCAGTAGAACTTGCCCTAATTATCCAGGGGCCATGGCCTCTTTCAGACTAAGGAGGACTCCTCCATGTCTGCCTCTGAGCTGACACTCACTGACACTTACCTCATCTTTTTGTGAACCACCAGAACAATGAAGTGACAGGACTTCCGGGTCTCTTAAATAAGAGGGTCAGTGCGCCATTGCTCTGCTCAAGTCTTTCTAGTAAAATAGCTCAAGCTGTCGGGGTCACGCATGTCCCTGCTAGACTGCCAATAAGAGCTGACATTGTCAAAATGTGGGGCACAGGCTTCTGCGGCCATTGTAGGACCCTGCTGCGGAGCCTGAGAGCAATCATGGGATTGCTAGCAGGGGGATCCCCAGAGCCCCTCGTTAGAGCCGGGTACAGCTCATGTGGAGAGGCAGAGGTGGGAAAGCACTTCTGATGTGCAAGAAGACTGGGGACAAAAGCCAGCTCTGCTTCCCGCTGGCCGTGGGACCTGGACACAGGGTCCTTCTAAGTCTCGGGCTGTCTCCCTGTAAAACAGGGTAACAGTACTGCTGGCCTCACAGGCTGTTGTGAGATACTCTATGAAATATGTTCCGCTCCACGATGCACACAGCAAGCCTCTGTCACAGTCACCGTTACTGCTCTTTGGCAAGGGCTGTGGTAGAGCGTGACTAGGAAGTGGCCATGAGAGGCTGCAGCCCTGACCTCCATGAGACATTCTTCACTATGAGTGCTTACACTGTTGCCCCGCGTACAAGGTGACTGGGGGCTGCTGCCGCTGTGTCTCTGCTGGGGAATGGAGTGGCAAGGCTAAAAGCAGCCAGTAAAGAGTCCCTCGTGGACCCAGCCACTCATGAGGACTCCCCCGAAGTCCTCTGGAACTCTCTGGCACATACTACCCAGGCTTCAGAGGTGGCCTACTCAAGGAAAAGAACACAGGAGTATTGATTCCCCAGCTCTCACCTATGTTTGCCTGAGGGTGGTTCCTGGGAAAGTAACATTCTAGACAGTAAGACATAGTGTCTGGTCACCCTCATTCTGTGCAGGATGGGTGCACATTAAAGAGGCACTGACAAATAACACTGCCTAGTACTGAGCCTATATGCACAAGTGAGGGAGAGAATAAGTCAATCGTCACCCAGTCTATCTGGCTTAAGGCTGATCCCCTTTTCACTGGGCTCCAGAAATTTTTCCAACAAGAAAATGTCAGCCTAATGCTGTGGGAATCCAAATCTTTTTTATGCCACAGGGAGGCCGGGGAGCCACCGGCCACTTCACTTTCATTTTCAAATGCAAGCGACACTAGGCAGACAGTCTTGTGACCCATACCAAAGATGGGGGAAGGAGGGAAGTGGGAAGACTCAGGATCTCGGCCACCATTGGCATGCTGGGTGTCCAGCTGACGAATCTGTAGTGGACAGAAAGAGCCGGGCTCCCCAGACTCCTGAGAGTTGGCTGGACTCTCTCCTGGCTCACTTAGAAGGCTCACATATCTTCCCCCTGCTGTCAAGAGCTCTGAGGCTATGCAGTCTTACCCAGCACCTCAGAACAGGAAGATCCTATGTCCTGAAGACGGGCAGCTCCTAGAGCTGACTCTGCCTGCTGCACTGCTCCCCCAGCTGCTATCCCTGGCCCCGTGAGACTCCGCACGCAGACCTCGCCTTGTCTGAAATCAAGGCTTCCTGTCCAGCCCTCCTCCCTGGGCTCCTCTCATGAGCAGCTTAAACATCAAAGAAGACTCCTCCACAGCACTGGACAACAAAGTCCTCATCCTCTCCCTGCCCTTTTCAGTCTAGACTCCTCGTGTCTAGGCCGGGACCCCCCACCTCTGTCTCCTTGTTCTCAGTCTCAGGGCAGCAGGCAAGGAGGCAGGCCACCACAGCTCCTTCACGTTACTCCCAGTCTAGACATGAGAACATTGGGGCCTCCATCCCCTCCCCCAGGGAAAGCTGAGACAGCACAGGACAGCATATACCCAGCATGAGATATGAATCGTCCTGGAAGCCATATGCGTGTCTGTGCTGTGGGCCAGTGCCACTGTGACCAGCTCGGAGACCTAAGATGTACACATGCTATTCATGAACACTCCACCTGCTGCGTGGAAGTAACTCTCCATTCTCTGCCAGCCCATGAATCTAAACACGTGTGTCTGTGTGTGCAAGGGAACATGGATCCGCACTTCTACACTCAGGTCTGCCAAGCTGGAGGCCCGTCCCCTCTGCGGTTCTCATTGCTCTTCTGAGGTCAGACGGTCTCAGAGCAGCTGGGAGAGAATGGGACTTTTCTACCAAGACATCTTAGTTCATCGTTAACTCTCTCAATGAGTTTGCCTCTTGTGGGCTTTTGGGGGTTTGCTTTGCTCTGTAGCCCAGGCTGGCCTCAAATTGACTGTGTAGCCAAGGATGACTAAATGCCTGATCTTCCTGCCTCCGCCTTCCAAGGGCTGGATTGCAGTCTTTGGTCCCCATGCCTGGTTTATTTGGAGCTGGAGATGGAACCAGGATTTCATGCATGCTAGGCAAGCTCCCTACAAGCCACATCCCTAGACCCTTTGTGGAGTGTTTAAGAGAAGGGAACCTGCTGGTACTTACACAGTGTCCAGCAGAGTGCTGGCACAGTCGGGGCTGTGCAAGTGCCACCTGTCCCTGCTCCTGTGCTCCAGACCTAGGTTCTTAGTTGTAACTGTACTTCTGGGAAGGAACATTCAGCTCAAGATCTGAGCAGTAAAAAGCTAGGATAGTAGCTCAGTGGCAGATTGCTTGCCTTGTTCCCAGCAAGCCTGGGCTGTGCTAGGTCTTGGGTTTGGTTCCCAGCACTGCAGCGAAAGATCTGATCAACTTTGCCAAAAACAAAACAAAACAAAACCCCCCGCAGAGTCCACTTTCTACTTTTCCTAGTTACATAAAGTGCATATTCATTGTGGAAAGGATTAAAGAAAAAGTTTTATTAGAAGAGAGAAAAAGAAGCCAGGAGTGGTTGTGCACGCTTGTGATCCCCACACTTGGGGAGGCAGAGACAGGAGGATCTCTTTGAGTTAGAGGCCAGCCTGGACTATGAAGTGAGTCCATGACAGCCAAGACTACACAGAGAAACCATGTCTCAAAGAACAAAAACAAACAAACAAAAACCCAAGAAACTAAAAAATAAAATAGATTAAAAAGGGGGGGGTAGCGAAAGAGAGGTATACTCACCACCTTCCTGGACCAGCCAGTGTTCTACATTTCCCATCTGGAGCTTTCAACTACACACTTGCTTCAGGCTCTGCTTCCCCAAAGCCAGCCTAAGACCATGGTTCCAAACGTTTTCTTCAGGGGCAACTTCTTTGGCGGCAACGTCATTGGGATCCAGGTTTGCTATTTTCATGTTAAGGATCTTAACGAAAGCCCCCTCCCCAACCCTAACACAGTGTCAATTCTTTCAGCCCATAGGTATCCATCTGGGGTCAGCAGCAATTTCTGAGGGCCAGGAACTTTCCCCTAAAGCCCAGCACAGGGGCAGGCTCTGGTACAGGAAAGACGGTCCCCTTGGATGCTGCCGGGGACTTTGCCTTCTGCTATCCTGTAGTACCAGTCCATCTGATGAGAATGCGGAAACTCTGCCCACCGTGTGTCTAGTTCATGGATGGGGCAGTCCCACCATTGAGACTGAGACATGAGGCACAGGGATGCTAAAAAAGAAAAGGGGGTAAGGTGGCCCACGGAGAACCAGTCTCTCATGCCAGTTGACACGGATGTTGGAGCAGAGGAGTGTCCCTGAAATACTGAGCTTATTCCCTGGGAACTGGACCATTCTTTTCCTTCCTGCTTTGGCTTGCTCGGGCAAATTCTGTCTTCTCTGGGCTTTAATGTTCTACATCTTCTTTCCACAAGGGGATTTGTTAGAGGGACTTACAAGCTGTGGTCCAACAATGGCTGTTTCCTGACAGAAAAGCCAAGGCGATGGGAGTTGTTTCAGTTCGTGAGGCTAGATGTCAACTGTCTCAGTCTGGCTCTGGAGTCCCAGGGAATTCTTAGGGAGCTGCTGGTCTTCATTCTACGTTGGGGTCCTGATGTAGGTATCTAACAACAGTGAGGGAAGCCCTCAGCAGCAGGATAGATGAACTTGGCTGTGAGTGTAAGGGCAAGTAGGCAAAAAGCAAAAGCTTTCTTCCATGTCCTTTTATGGGGGTTGACACCAAAGGCGTGGCCAAGATTTAGGGTGGGTCTTCCCACGTCAAGGAGTCCAATCAAGAAAACCCCTGGAAAGCCTGCCCCGCTACTTGGGCTTTAATGGGTTCCTGATACAGACAGGTTGATGACGAAGATTAGCCTCAGCTAGGTCTAACAGCTCTGTTTCATCTGGCCCTTCAGATGGGAGCGCGGTGTTCAGGGGCTGCTTCCGTCGACCCAACAACCTCTCCCTGGCCTTGCCCGTGACAGTCGCCATGCCAAACATGTCTGTGGACAAGTGTGTGGACCTCTGCACAGAGAAGGTGAGCTGGGGCCGTTCGCAGCCCTCAGGGTTCAAGGACAGGGTGGCATGAAGCCTGAGGAGCAGGATGTGGGGCTGGAGAAGTAGCCGTCACTCAGAAGAGCTTCAGGGGTCACCAGATCGTGACCTATGATGAGTCAGCGTGAGCGTCACTTCACGGAGCTGCACTAAGTGGCAGGAGCCGCCTGCTTGTGTCTGATGGTGAAGGAGTGTGAGACTGAGGGTGCTGAGGAGGCATACTAAACACTCATGGTTGGGTGATGTCAGCGGTGGCCAGTGGGGCCCTGCTGCACGCCATCTTTCTGAGCTGTATCTGGCTTAGGAGCCAACTGGCCAAAGATAACCTGGCTACCCAGGCGACAAAGGAAACAACCCAAGTTGGTCTAAAGGCACAGATTTGGGCCAGCAAGATGGCACAGCAGGTAGAAAGGCTTGCGGCGGCCAAGCCTGAAGACCTGAGTTTGATTCCCAAGGCCCATGCGGTGAAAAGAAAGAACTGGTTTCTGCAGGTTGTTCTCTGATCTCCACGTGTGCTCTACCGCATGCATGTGGACAATCCATTGGTAGTTTACAGCACAGATTTGGCCAGAGTTTCCCAGTCACAGGGAAGACAGGGCCAAGCATTTCCCTCTTGGTTCTCTCATGTGCTTCTCTCGGTACAGTGCTGACACTGTCTGCCGTAACCCTCAATGAATCCCTTTTGCCAGAAAAAAAAAAAAATATATATATATATATATATATATATGGCGCTGACCCCAGGTTCATTCTCGGCAGGGGAAAGGGCCCAGGGAGAATTTACCAACACTGGCCACTCAGTGTTCCATGGCTCCAGCTCACCCGAGGCCGTGTACATGTACGCCAGCTCTAGGTGTCTTCTAAACCCTAATTTGGTACTGATGCCATGTAAGACGTTGCCATGGAGATCACCAAGGGAAACGAAAGGGTCCAGTTGTTCAGTGACCAGATAGTACTTTTCTGGAATATTTTTGACCTCACCGTGGAGCCAGCAGATGGAGAGGGCCGGTGCATTCTGTGGGTCTCCCTTTGCTGCCTGGGAATGTGGGTGCCTGTTTCTCCTGAAGTCTTGTTTCAGATAAACGATTAACCAACACAAGAATGGGCTGGGTGGCTGTGATGTCCGGGGAGGGGTATGGTTGGGCTGTACAGGGACTGGGTGACCCTCCTCTGTTCTCATGCCCAGGAGTATCCCCTGGCAGCTCTTGCCGGCACTGCCTGCCACTGTGGGTTCCCCACCACACGGTTCCCTCTTCACGACCGGGAGGATGAGCAGCTGTGTGCACAGAAGTGCAGTGCCGAGGAGTTTGAGAGCTGCGGGACGCCCAGCTACTTCATCGTGTACCAGACGCAGGTCCAAGGTAAGCCAGGCTGCCTCGACAGACCCTCCTTCCCAGATGTGTCCTGGCCAGTCGGTTTCCTAAAGCCTGCAGTGTGAGGCAGGAAGTGAATTGATGAGAAGGCTGAGGGCTGGCCGATTTGCTGAGACCTAGGCACCCTGGGTATGAGACAAGGAAAGCACCTGGGGGGAGGTTCTGATGATGTCTACCTGAGGTGATGCTTTGCTGATAGGGGAAAGAGAGCCCTCGGTCTCCTCCAACACAGAGCCAGAGTGTGATCCTGGACAGCCCATACCCCCTGTCCTGGCCTCAGTTTCTCCATATGGAAAATGAAGCTGTAGATGGTTAGCCTCCAATGTCCTTTTTGTTCTGGAATTCTGTCAACCTGTCTACGACTTCTTCCCCTCCCTGTCAATCGTCCTTTCCATCCCTTTCCTCCTTTGCCAATAGAGCCCACGCTGACTGTTTATCTCTGTACCGCCTACAGGGAAGGCCAAGGGTAGAGATGATGACAGTGGCTAGGAGGGTGGCCATGATAGCGATGGTGATGACTGCAGTCGTGCTTGTTAGCTTTTGTCAACTTGACACAACCCTAGGCATAGCAGGGACGAGGGAATCTCCGCTGAGGGCTGTCCCCATCAGATTGCACATAGGCCAGTCTGTGAGGTATATGATTGAGGTGAGAGGTCTCGCCCGCTGTGGGTGGTCCCACCCCTGGGCAGGTGGCCTTGGGTTGTTTAGGAAAGGAGAGTGGGCAAGCCATGGAAAGCAAGCCAGTAAATAGCTTCCTCCATGGTTCCTGCCATGGTTCCTCCATGGTCCTCTGCTCCTGCTTGAGTGCCTGCCTTAACTTCCCTCAGTGCTTGACTGCACCTGGGACATGAAAGCCAAAGAAACCCTTCCTTTGGCCAGTGTTTATCACAGCAACAGAGGGGCAAACTAAAACTATGAAGGGAGGTGATGGTAGTGACAGTGGTCATGATGATGGTGATGATGATGGTGGTGGTGATGGTAGCAGTGACAGTGGTGGCCGTGATGGTGGTGGCCATGATGGTGGAATGAAGGTGGTGGTGGCAATGGTGGCAGTGATGGTGGTAGTGACAGTTGTGATGATGGTGATGATGAGGTGTTAATGATTATGGTGATGGTGACAGTGGTGGTGGTAATGGTGGTGATGATGATGAAAATGGTGGTATGACAGCAGCAATGGGTTTCTTAAGTCTTACTCCACATTGGGCTCAGTACTGAGGCCTTCATATATACTTCCTTCTCCTCAGCTGTCCTATGAGGTGGGGGTGGTGATTGTTCCCACTTCCCTGGGAAAGTGAAACTCAGAGTAGCTGAGGGGCTTGCCTACAGACAAACCATCAACTTTTATTCCTGGGAGGGGCTTCTCAAACAGTAGTTGGTATGGGGTTGGGCACTCACACTGGACCAGAGCCTAAGGGGACCCCAGGCCTTATCTCAGCATGGAAACACTGGCCATTCATTGCACCAGCCTCATCTCATTCCATGATGTGAAGCCACAGTCAGCCTGTGAACAGGGCAGAACTACGCCCATTTTACAGATGGTGGAGGGACAAGGAACTGGCCACAGTCCTACCTACATAAGAGAGCAACGTGCCTTCAGAGCTGACTGCAAAGACCATGCTAGAATCCTTGGCTCAATAGGAAGAGCTTTCCCAGCCCATCTGGAGTCTGAAGAGCAACAGCACGTCTTTGGGCAGACTGCCTTCTAGCAACAGTGCATAGATGGGCAGATGGACACGGCATGGGTGTGTCAACAGCAGTATTACCTGCAAGGCAGTCTGCATCCTCGCACACCGGTGCCCTCTTAGAGGGAAGCAACAGATGCCTAGTTGTGATTTTCGTAAAAATCCTGTGACCAGTGGTCCCGCTTGATCTGATATTGAGTACAGAAGCCTGGTAGGAAAAACACTACTCATTGACAGTGCAGTGAGGAGGGACACGTGTGTGCTGGTTTTCTGGGATGCATCGGGCATCTGGGCCGAGCTATGTGGCCCTGGCCTGGAGGAGAGAGTCTTGCCAAACTAATAGCACTGTACTCGTGTGTGGCGTTGCTGAGGCCATGCCAGAAGCTGATGTCTTCCCAACAGTCGATAGCATCTCTGTGCCCATCCCAAGCCTGCCCAAGCCGCTCTAGCAGATCCTACCCCCTGGGAAGAGTTGCATGCCATAGATTCTGCAAACTGCCCAAATCTTGGTCTACTGTGTCTGTCCTTTATTAAACATCAGCTACACAATACGCCCTGATATTCCTGACGGGAACTAAACAGTTAGCAGGCTGTGTGCCCAGCGCTGTCAATGTGCCTTACCAGGCTTTGCCCACCTAACCCTCTAGTCACGATGTGTGACCAGTTTACACATGGATGACTAAACAGGGAGGCTGAGCAGTATGGCCATACAGCTAAACAGGGCAGAGTTGGGATTCCAAGCCAGGTGATCAAAGTGCAACTTCTCGGTGTTACTTCAGACTCACTCTGAGTGGCCTGTTCACTTCTGTTCGCAAAGCGAGGAGACTTCAGTTCAAGGAGGTAAAGATGCCCAGTGGAAAGGCAGGGTGGAGACTTGGGTCTGCTGGTTCCATGGCCTAGAACATGCAGCCTGTAGCTTCTCCCTTGGTGTACAGGGCTTCGGAACCACACAGGAGCTAACACTGAGAGGTTGCAAGGTAAAAGATTTGTTTTTATGGCTGGGCCAAACCTACAGTCTCCTCCAAAGTAGCAGAAGGAAACAACTCAGACCAAAGGCAAGGAAACCTCTTTATAGCAAGTGATTACAAAAGCGGAATTTTGCAGTTATTTTTATGATCATGGAAAAAGGTACATGTTACGGATTTATGGTCAGACAGTTACCAAAACATATGATGAAACATTTTATGGTCAGTCAGCTCTCAGAACTTACCATGAAACCGTGAAAACTATTTACGATTTATATGTCACACGATTATGGAGAAAGAACAAATAGAAATAGCAAGCTGACCTTTAGGACCATAAGGAGCAACATAGAAATAAATCAAAGTCTAACATTGTTTAACTTAAAAAAAAAAAAAAAGGTAAATAATGGAGGCAGCTGACCATTACCATAGACAAAATAGTTTTCTGTTGTTGTTTGGTTGGTTGATTGGTTGGCTTTTCGAGACAGGGTTTCTCTGTGTAGCCTTGGCTGTCCGGGACTCACTTTGTAGACCAGGCTCACCTCAAACTCAGAGATCTGCCTGCCTCTGCCTCCCCGAGTGCTGGGATCACAGCACTGGCCACCGTGCCTGGCTGACAAAGTGGATCTCAACCCTGAGAACAATAGATGTTATCAGAGAGCTGACTCATGGCCTCCCAGGAAGGTGTGAGTTAAGAATTCTTTGGGAGGGATGAAGAGATGAAGGGTGCCCCAAACCCAGAGCCAAGCTTTTATTATGAAAAACAAAACAAAACCTGTTAAACCTCAGAAAATCGAGATGTTGTGCAGGACACACCCAGAGGCTTCCTTCATCCCTTTTGCTGTGTTTACAGGGCCCCTTGTACCCTGGGCCCTCTTGTACCCTGCCATTCTGAAAGAAGTGCAATCCACCATGTGAAACATTAATTACAGTGCAACATTTGCCTAGGGTTTTTTTTTTTTGTTTTTTTTTTTTAGTCGCGTTTGCATAGAGGGAGAGGCACCTTTTAAGTGTGGTCCATGACCACAGGGCAGCCCCTGCTCCTCTGGCACCAAAAGAAAGCAGAGAACCTTCTGGCTCAGATAGGAGCTGCAGTGGGATGAGGCGGGGTCTCCGTGAGGTCGGGCTCTCAGTCCCATCAAACTGACAGTTTGAACCACTGCAACCACCTGTGAGAGACTTTCTGGGGGTCGCCTGAGACTGGACAGGAGGTTCGTCCTCCTGTGGACGAATGCTGTCCCCCCTCCTGTGCGCTCAGCCCATCATAGAGCCTCTCTTCTTCCGGATATGACCTTGTCTCCAGGGCACACTGTGCTCACCCCTGTTTGTCCTCCCGCAGACAATCGCTGCATGGACAGAAGGTTCCTCCCAGCCAAGTCTAAGAAGCTCATTGCTCTAGCCAGCTTCCCGGGCGCCGGCAACACATGGGCCCGACACCTCATCGAGCTGGCCACCGGCTTCTACACTGGCAGCTACTACTTCGATGGCTCTCTGTACAACAAAGGTGAGGGGTGGAGGGTGAGGGAAATTCGGTGCACCACTCAGCACGCCTGGGCTCCCCAGTCAAGGCCTGTCATATGTGTGGTGCTATCCACCTTCTCATGGCTGACCCACACTTCGTTTGTCTCAGACTTGGCACCTGCCCTGAGCCTGCCGACTAATTGACACCTATTATGTGCTTAGTCACTTTCCTCCACTTAGATTGCCACAAACATTTTTTTCCTTTTTTTTTTTTTTAACTTTTATTAGTTACACTTTATTCATTTTGTATCCCCCCATAAGCCCATCCCCCTCCTGGTCCCACCCCCCCTTTCTGCATGCATGCCCCTCCCCAAGTCCACTGATAGGGGAGGTCCTCCTCTCCTTCTTTCTGATCTTAGTCTATCAGTTCTCATCAGAAGTGGCTGCATTGTCAGGGTTCTAGGTTATCTCCATGGATAGTCCTTGGTTGGAGTATGAGTCTCTGGGAAGTTCCCTGTGTTCAAATTTTCTTGTTCTGTTGCTCTCCTTGTGGAGTTCCTGTCCTCTCCAGCTCTTACTATTTCCCACTTCTTACATAAAATTCCATTCACTCTGCCCGTCAGTTGGCCTTCAGGCTCAGCATCTGCTTTGACAGTCTGCACGGCAGAGGCTTTCAGAGGCCCTCGCCATAAACATTTCTTAAGCACCTACTGTGTGCTGGGCACCTCACCACAGATACAGACTGACCAACAGCTCTGTGCTACCAGTAGAGGTATGATAACTGTTTACTTTGGGGCATTTATTGAGTATCAACTGTTTACTAGGCATCTTGCCTGTAGTATTTGCTGTGTGCCCTGTTCTTTATTTTGATGCTGTACACTGTCATTTACCCCGCACTGTTACATCAGAAACGTGCTTCCTTCGTGTGGTTTTCAAGAGGCACTCACAGGCATCCTGTCGAGTTGTCTGTGACCCCAGACATGAAAACTGAGGCTGAATAAGAGGACGTAACCAACCCCCCCCCCCGTCACAGTTTCTTCAAGTGTCTGATTAGAGACTGTGCCCAGCTGTGTCCTGATGTCAGGTTCACGTCCTTATCACCCTTGGGCTTCCTACTGGGAGTTAGAAATCCAGGGTAGCACTGGACAGGAAGCGATCTCCTTGGCATGGGTTTTACATGTGTGTGTAGGGAGCCCTTGGCTGTGGCTCTGTGTCTGTGTTTTGGTGGAGGTGCACTTCCTGGCTCTGTGGTCGCTGGCATGCTGCTGTCCCTCTCTGATCCTGTGGTCACGCACCTGCTAAAGCTAACAGTTTGGACCTCGTGAGGCTGATGTAAACATGCATGGATTGACTCATTAACAAGTCCAGCACGAGGGAAACAGACACTGCCATTACGGCACAGCTAAGGAAAAGCCGGGCAGCAACAGCTCCCAACATAGAAAGCAGGAGGGTGGGAGAGACTGAAAGTGGCAGGAGGTGAGGTGGGCGGGGCTGAAGATGGAGCTAGCAGGGGTGTAGGAGCAGGCCATCCTAGTGCCTTCAGTTGCTGTGATAAACTCTGAACAAAGCCTACTCAGATAGGAAAGGGGCAAAACTCAACAGAGGCCATGGAGGGTGCTGCTTACTCACTTGCTCCTCATGGCTTGCTCAGCCTGCTTGCTTATATAACCCAGGACCAGCAGCCCAGAGATGGCCCCACCCACAGTGGGCTGGACTCTCCCACACCAATTACTAATCAAGACAATGCCTCACAGACCGATCTGATGGAGGAAATCCCTGAACTGAGGTTCCCTTTCCGTGGGTGTCACTAAAGTAACCAGCACATTGGAGCCCAGTTCTCTGCATTTGGTTTGGGTTTCTGTACTCATGTCCTTAGCACTTACTATGTGGGAAGTAGCACTCACTGTGTTTGAGACTCCTGTCAGGATTTGAACCCAGACCATCAGCAGAACTGGAGCTGTGCTGTCTTTATGAGGTGGTGGCTGGGATCACGTCACATATTGTCCTAACTGCCCTAACTGCTCAGCCTCAGAAAAGGGTTGCCTGGGATCATTGAGGTCAGGGATGTAAAGTGGTTTCATCTCCTGTGTCAAGTTCGGTGAACTCCGCTCTGCAGAGACATGTTGAGAAGGGTTCTGAGGTTCTGTTTTTCCTCGGTGGCTTGAAAGAGGCAAAGGGAGGCAGCTGCCTAGACATCCGGGACTGGGCCCCCATCAGCTCCCTCGCGGCTTCAGAAAGCAGTGGAGCCATCAGTCTGAAAGTCCATGGTGCTTTGCGAATGGGACCTGGGCTCAGGTTCTCCCCATCCTGAGCCTCGGCCTCTTTATCTGGAACCAAACACAGAGGTTTTCCAGACACACCAGACCGTGGCAGGAGGGCACCTGGGGACACTGTGACGCGAGGCACACCAGGCTATGGTATGGAGGTATGAGGAGAGAGACAAGGGGAAACATATTTTTTTGCAGCTCTGAGACAATGTCTTGAAACAATTGTCTGGTGGCCCCTCAGAACCACAACTGTAGTGACTCAAGACAGCCCATCCAACTGTCCTCCCACAGCGTCCTCCTAGTCATGAAATTGAAAACTTAGACTCTGGAGTGGGTATTTCCAGACGACCATGCTGTGTTTTCTTTGTTTCTTTTCAATCTCCACAAATACTGCGATAGGTTGATGCCATTGGGGCATTGCAGGTCTCCCAGGACAGGGAAATGACCTCCGTACGGTCGCTGCCGCTGACACCATGTCTTGTGTGGGGGGTTGGGAAGTTTTCTTGACCGTTTTGTTGGCTTTGGCTTCTGGAGATGGAGTCCCACCCAATAGCCAGGATGTCTTCAAACTCAGGGCATCTCAAGCATGGGGACCGCAGGCATGGGCCAGTGAACCTGGAGCCGTGTCTCTGAGGAGCGCGTGGGTTCTCGTATGCCACCTGTATCTCCCCATTGCTGGGCCTGGAAGAAAGTGGGTTTCAGTATAGACAAAATGGAGGCCATGGGTGCAAAGTCTTTGCCCGGGTTGTACAGAGTCCCAGAAAAGGGATGTGTGGCATGGGGCTACAGCCCTATGCCCTCATCCTCAGTGCCCTTAGGGTGCTGTGCCACTGTGAACATCAAGATCTGTCTCTAAAAGACCTGGGCCCGGGTGCTCAGAACACACCCAGGAGTGAGTGAGTGAGTGAGTGAAGAAGAGAGTCCTGAGGAGGGGTTGGGTGTGCCTCCTGCCTCCCCATATCCCCAGCTTCTAACTTCTCGGCTGGGGTTGTGGACAGGGTTCAAAGGTGAGCGGGACCACTGGCGTAGTGGGCGGACCATCTGCATCAAGACCCATGAGAGCGGCCAGAAGGAGATCGAAGCCTTTGACGCAGCCATTCTGCTCATCCGCAACCCGTACAAGGCCCTCATGGCGGAGTTCAACCGCAAGTATGGAGGCCACATAGGATTTGCTGCCCATGCTCACTGGAAAGGCAAAGGTACAGAAGGCGGGGGGTGAGGGGCTGGGGCAGTTTGGGGTATGGGGCAGACAGCATGGGGTGACAGAAGGGAAGAGCTGGAGCGGTGTGGGGTGGCCAGCATGGGGTGACAGGAGGGAGGATCTGGGCCAGTGTGGGGTGGCCAGCAGGGCGCTCTTAAGAGGCTGCAGCTGAGGCCTCACAGGCCACACCCAAAGCACCAGGAGCTAAGGATTTGGAATTTACAGTGAAACTTGATAACATGACTCCCAATCATTCCAATTTATTTATTTATTTATATGTCTATCTATCTATTTATTTATTTATTTAGTCTACAGTGTTCTGCCTTTATGTGTGCTTTCACACCAGAAGAGGGCATAGATGGTTATAGGTGGTTGTGAGCCACCCTGTAGGAGCTGGGAATTGAACTCAGGACCTCTGGAAGAGCAGACAGTGCTCTTAACCTCTGAGCCATCTCTCCAGCCTTCATTGCACTTTCTTGAACAACTCTTAGCTTTTTGGACTTAGTGGTGTGATAAAATTGTGGGGTGCAGAGGCTGGAAGGTACATCCTCAGCAGCTATGGTTCTCTGGTTTTGGTGACAGAGACACTATTGGTAAAATCCACATGGCATTGATTGCCACGTGTTTTGGGGTCCTCTCCTGAGTTTCACACAGCCTGTGTCCAGTCCCAGGTCATTGCCTATGTGGTGGTGTGAGCCGGGAAATTTGAGAGTCTATGTCCAAACCAGATTTCCCAGGTACTCCGATGCCCTACCAAGGTTTGAAAACTGCCTTGGGACACCCTAGACGTACAGAAGGGAGGGTGACCTGCGAGAAGCAGAGGCCACATAGCTGCTGTGTGTGTCCAGCCACGGGAGCCCTGTTCCCTCCCGATTAGAGCCAAGATAAGCCTCCCCACCCCCCCAGCTTCGGTTCCATAACGTTAATTTTACAACCCCTCTGGAGCGGGACGAAGGCGAAATTTTATGTGATATGATTACACAAGGTGAATTGTCCTGGATCTGTTTAATGAAACAGATCCTGTGTTTAATGATTCCGTGGGGAGCTGGTGCCTCAAAACCATTAATCAGGGCCTGGTTCTCCCTGACGACAAGGAGTTGGAGCAGAGACCGCCAGGTGGCGGGCAGCCAGGCACACAGGTGTCCTGTGGGTCGTCAGGGTGCCTTGATTTCTGGATTTGTAGGTGCTGATCAATTACCAGGAGCCCGGAGCTAGCGGAGGCTGTGGGGGAGAGGGATGATTTTTGCTTTCATTTCTATTCTTCTTTGCAATGAAGTCATTCAGGAGCTTTGAGAGGTGGGGGTTGGTGCGGGCGAACCTCTGATATGGAGGAGGCCAGAAGAACATGGGAGCTGTTATGCTTTGAGGGTGGGGAGACTCAGGCCAGCAGGATGGGACATGTGGGGAGCCTTAGGAAAAGCTGGGGGCCAACACCAGCAGGCTTCTCCTGAGCAGCATGTACTCTTCTGCACCTGGTGCTTCAGCAGGAGCTTTGCAAAGCTCGTTATCCTAAGAGAGCAAGGCTGCCCATCTGCAACTCAAGGCGAGCAAATAGCGCCAGCCAGGTCGCCCAGTGCAGGTAGAGAGGAGCAGAGGTTCCGGCCCCAGCCACCTGGATGCAGGGTCATCCATGGCCAACCCTGAGTCTCAGCCAGTACCCAGAGGTAAAGGACGCACCGGGGAGACAGAGGCAGCTTCCCCAGAACCAGAGCTTCAGGTGATGGTCTCAGAAGACAGGCTCAGCTTGACACACCAAGAAGATGTCTTCAGGATGGTCCCACGTGACCACCCCAGAGGTCTAGACCTGTGGGGTGCTGGGTGACAAGGGCTAGCCTCACCTGGGTTTCTCCTGGGATGGTAGTAGCTGTCCTGAGCCACCAAGGGTGCCGGGAGGTGACCAGGAAGTAGGGAGAGGCTGCGAAAGGGAAGGAGCCGCTCTGTATGCGTAGGTTTCCTACCCTCCCAGATACATCTGGTCCTAACCCATTATAACAGTGCGGGCCCAATTAGTCAGCTGTCTTGCGCATAATCTGTTTTAAGAATAAGAAATAACCCGTCACCAGCATAAATATTTCTCAAGTAGCCGTGGGGTTCCGGGAGGGGGCGGGACACGGCCATCTGAGGACAGCTTTGATGAGTTCTGTCGAGAAAAAGCAGTCCTTTATCACGGTGCAATTTAGCTGTTGGATATTTCAATTTGGTTCCTGCTGGGTACCAGGCTGTGGGATGAGGCTGTCAGTGGCTGGAGAAGAACTAGGCCAGAGTGAGACAGGCTGGATGGAAGGGTGTGATTTTGACCAAGTCACTTTCCCTGTCTGAGCCTCAGTCCTTCCTGGGGATGATATCCGATAGTCTTTTTCCCTTAGGGTAGGTGGGAGGACTAAGTGAGACAGTGAGGATCTTTTTCCCTTAGGGTAGGTGGGAGGACTAAGTGAGACAGTGAGGATTCGTCACCCATCAGGGGGTCACCATTCAGGAGAATTTTTTATTTTTTTATATTAATTGTAGTTTATTTACTTTGTATCCCAGCTGTAGCCCCCTCCCCCACCCCCTCTCAACACCCCCTTCTAACCCTACCCTCCCTTCCTCTTCTTCTCCTATGCTCCTCCCCCAGTCCACTGATAGGGGAGGTCTTCCATCTGACCCTAGTCTATCAGGTCTCATCAGGACTGGCTTCATTGTCTTCCTTCGTGGACTGGTAAGGATGCTCCCCCTCAGGTGGAGGTGATCAAAGAGCCAGCCACTGAGTTCCTGTCACAGATGGTCCCTGTTCCTATTACTGGGGAGCCCTCTTGGACACTGAGCTGCCATGGGCTACTTCTGTGCAGGGGTTCTAAGTTACCTCCATGCATGGTCCTTGGTTGGAGAATCAGTCTCAGAAAAGACCCCTGTACCCAGATTTTTTGGTTCTGTTGTTCTCCTTGTGGAGTTCCTGTCCCCTCCAGGTCTTTCTATCTCCCCCTTCTTTCATAAGATTCCCTGCACTCTGCCCAAAGTGTGGCTATGAGTCTCAGCATATGTTTTGATAACCTGCTGGGTAGAGTCTTTCAGAGGCCCCTGTGGTAGGCTCCTGTCCTGTTCCCTGTTTTCTCCCTCTTCTTATGTCCATCTCGTTTGCCTTTCTGAATGAAGATTGAACATCTTACCCAGGGTCCTCCTTCTTGATTAGCTTCTTTAGGTGTACAGATTTTAGCATGATTACCCTATATTATATGTCTAATATCCACTTTTAAGTGCGTATATACCTTGTGTGTCTTTCTGCTTCTGGAATTTTAAGGTCCCCAACCCAGCTTGAGAGACTCATGCTCTCCGTGCTCCCTCTGGAGGGGCCTGAGGAGTGCTGCAGCGTCAGCAGTTGGGCCCTTAGTGCAAGTAGGTGCTGATGCTGTTCCCAGCAGCCCAGCGCCCACCATCGGCAGTCTCTCCCAGCTTCTCTCCAGCCTGAGCCTCAGCGGCTATCCTTGGCGATCCGCTCTACAACTACCCCCAAGGAGTGTTCTGCTCTGTGTAACCTGTCTCAGGCAACCCTAAAGGCACCCTCCTAGTCAGGTGACTTTCTGTGTCAGGGCTAACAATGAGCCCTCAAGAGGAGAGTTTGAATAGAGCAGGGAGACCCCCAAGAACAAGCTTACCAAGCCTGTTTAACCCCACCCCAAGGGGCTCACTCTGCAGTGGAGACAGATGTGTAAGCAGAGTGACCAAACAGGAAGGACTCACTGTGTGGTCAGGAGAAAGAATGGAGCCTGCAGAGCCCAGAAGAGGCCTGTGTGGGTCCCCGGGGCCTGTGATGGTGACTTCTTGTTTGAGAAAGATGGACAGCAGTAAGGACGGTAGCCATGCTTATTGAACAACTGCAGGGCCCGGGCCAGTGTGGCGACAGTCCCCGTCCTCTGGCCACACAGTACACAGTTCCCTGTTAGCACCCTGACATTGCTCATAATACCTTGGTAGTAAAAGGCCCACCAGCTGCTGGCCAGGCCTCCCAGATCCCAGACTGCCTTCAACAGTCCTTCATCCACTCTGCCTCAGTTTCCTCTTCTGTTAAATGATGACCACGCTAATGAGGGGTACCTGTGAGGACTGAGCAGAGTTAACTCCTGAATGCATCTGCACAGCGAAAACACATTTACAATCCAGCAGCACACCTTTATAATTAATATGCTAATGGAAATTATAGACCTCTGATAGGAACATATTTACATAAACATAACTATTTTATAAAGCCAGCATGGTGGCGCACACCTTTAATCCTAGCGCTCAGGAGGCAGAGGCAGGTGGATCTCTGAGTTTGGGGCCAGCCTGGTCTACATAGTGAACTCCAGGCCAGAACTACACAGAGAAACCAAAGGGAAAAGCCTGTTTTATGTAAATCTCATATGAATTGCATAGCATAGTGTGGGGTGAGTCGGAAGCACTTGGATGCAGGCCTGATTGTCTCATCAGAATGGAGTCTTTGATGTGACGTCTCTCAGTCCCTGAAATCATCGGCGGTCTTTATCCTTTGAAGACTCAGGGACTACCTTTGAATTTAGTTGTCACACTTAAAAGTCTTTTACAATGCTATGAGTTATTCATTAATTACACCAAATTGTATAAACAGATTTAAATATTTGTTCATCACAAAGTTTTTACAACTGTTATTGAATTTAGTAGGAATATTCCAGATAGGGATAGCTCTCTAAACAACTTTTAAGTGATTAACGCAATGACTGACTACTCAAAAAGCAAAGGCTTTGTTCAATGGGGAAACATTTAACAGGTATTAAATGTCCATTTAGTCAAAGGATAAACAAAACGTTTTGTTACTGTTGTCTTAAGTGATTTTTTAAAACATTACTAAGAACAAATCAATACTTAAGAAAGTATTATAGAGAATTAAGCATTAATTTTATCTCAGGGTATTGAACTGACCTTAAGTTTTATAATTTAAATGTTATTTTTAACCTGTTAAAAATTAAATAAAAATTAAAATTAAAATGTTATTTTTAAAATGGATAACCATATCCATTTTTAAACAATCCTTTTGCAACATACTTTGATCTTATTATTATTACAAAATTTAGAAAACAATTTTAATGAGGTAATTTTAAAAGAAAGTTCAGGAGGCCATAATGTAAGACAGAAAACATGGTATCTTAAATATCCAATACTTATAAACACAGGTAAAGCACATTTATAGTTTTGTTTTCTTAACCAAACTTAAACTAAATGTTTGTTAAAGATTTAAGCTACTATAACAGGTCCCGTGAAGTGTTTTGCTTTTGGGTGTGTGGTTTTTGTTGTCATGGTTGGAAAAAGCATTTCCTCTTATAGTTGTCTTCCCCAGACATCAAGAACATAAGGCATCCAGAGTAAGACAGTGCTTAGCAATTATGACTTTAGTGTTCTTTTAAATTAAGAGTTGAATAATTCTTTAAATATATAATTATGGTAATACATTAAGTGGATCTGTAAACTCTAAGATGTCTATGCAAACCTGGAAGTCGGTTTTTAAAATGACAATTAAAAATAGATACAGTCGGGAGCCGTGGCACAGGCCTGTAATCCCAGCAGTTAGGGAGGCAGAGGCAGGAGGATCTCTGAGTTCGAGGCCAGCCTGGTCTACAGGGAAACCTTATCTCGAAACAAAACAAAAAAACAGACATTTAGGGCTTTCTCTTACATTGGCCTTACCAAGGTGCAGATCTTGAAACCCTGCTTGTTCGTTCATTTGTTTTTAAAGAGACAGTGTGCTCAGAACTGTCTTTGAAATGTTGGTATGCAGATAAACACTCACATGTAAACAAGCCATATCTGAAGCACAGATGTGATCTGGCCTTTTAATCTCTGAGATAATGAGCTCAGTGTCTGGGGTATCTCAGCTGTCACTAGGAAAATCGTACGCTGGTGTAAGAGCAATCATCTCATAGTTACTTTATACCCTCAACTGGATAAGGAGTATAAGGTGATATAAGGAGGACAAGGTGACATCTTCAGAATTGCATCTTGTTCTTAAAGCAGACTTACATTTTTTAAATTTAAAAACATGTCAGCTGTCCCAAAGAAAGATCTAGAATCATTAAAAGCGGGCAGAGGAGATTTAGTTGGTGTGGTCACATGGGAAGGGGGACAGCGAGATCTGGCTTTAGGGACCTGAAGTAAAATCTAAACAGTCCTGGTCCTTCGTCATTGTCTGGGCTTCGGGTGTCCTGAAGGTGTTTGACAGTTACTAGAACTATTTGAAATCTCTTTCAGGAAGACAAGTTACCTTCCAGCTGGCACCCTTCCCTCTCCCAGTGTGAAATTCCTGGGGGGGGGGGGCTCATATCCCTGGGGTCCATTGCTTCACCAGTCTGACAGTCGGACTGAGACACACACGTGTCTTTTGAGAATATATTTTTGCTACGCTGTTTACTCAGGGGATCAGGTTTTATGATGATGTTCCCAAGAAAAGCCACTTGTTGCTACATACCCAGGAGCAGAGCTGGCTGGGTCTGAGAAACAGCTATTACTTGGTGTCAGAGCCACTCAAACGTCTAGAGTTTCTTGTTAGGCAATTGGAAGCAAAGGAACGCAGAACCTGTGCTGAAAAGGATGGAGGGGGCACAGACAGTTTCATTTGATTTTCTTAAATAGTCTAAGGAGTGCCCCTAGCTCAGTCCAAGCTGGGATTCTGGGCTTTAAGACTGGCAGGAATTTTTAAGACTAGCTTTAACATAAGCATGGGAGTTAAAGGAAAACAAGCTGCTCAAAGAAACTGTAAGATAGGATGTGACAAAGAAGCAGGCCAGAAAGGAAGAAGAGCCCTTTTTTTAAATTTTAGCATCTAAATTAATTTAATCACATGAAATGTAACTCAGGTGTGGCTTTACTACTCTTTTATTATTATGAATTACCAATATGAGCAGTATTTGGAGATCAGTTTACATTTTAGTTAAAGCCTATGTGTGAGTTTTAAGACTTTCATCGCTCAGGACTTTGTTAAGCTTGGAGGCTGTAACTGCTTGGGTTGTCTTTAGTCTCTTTTGTTTTTTTCCTAAACACTTGGAAGTTAGTCAGCAATTATCGCTCACAGAGCAGGTCAGAGTACCAGATGGCCATTTTTTTTTTTTTTCTCCAGGCACTTCCTCCTTTTTGGAAACCTTGTTTCCTCAGTTTTTTATTTCTCCTTTTTCTTTTGTCCTGAAAAGTCACCTGTCTGTGCTAGCTAGGAAATATGTGGTTTGGGTCAGCTGTATGTGCTGGTTTTTTTTTGCACCTTCTCCCACTGGGTCTCTGGTTATCCTATATGTTTACACAAACACGAAGGAGCTCAGGACAGTGGGGGGAACAAACCTTCATGTGTGTCTTTCCCAATGAGCCAATATTCCAAGCCTGGTGTACAGATCGAGTTTCAGAACAGCCTGGGCTACAGAGAGAAACCCTGTCTCGATAAACAAAACAAAAGAATGGGGCGTATCTGTTGAGTTTCACTGAGGCCTTTGCACATACTGAGGCATTGCCGCTGACACCACCACACGTTGGGGTGGGTTGGGGTGTGAGGGAACAAGTGTGTCTTGTCTTCAGCAGCTTCATCATCGGATGATCGTAAACTTCCTAAACTAGGGGTCTGACGAGGTCACAGGAGCCGCAGCAGAAAAAATGCAGAATAGCATTTGAGGAGGAGTGTCAGGAAACACAGGCCACATGGCAATAAATAAAGCATTTCAGAGACAAGGAAAACCAAGACAAAACAAGCCAGAAGCAAACAAAATACTGAACACGAGTTAAAGAGCAGAATCTAAAATGCCTCTAGAGTTCTGAGTGCAAGCAGACCAAACCAAGCAAACGTTAGACCGAAATGCTTTCAAACAAGCACACAAACCACACACCTTAAAACAAGTAACTTTGAAACAGACAAAAAGAAGATACCTCTCAAAGAATGACCTGTTAAGCAGCTCAGAATAGACAGACTGTCCACAAAAGCAAAGGAGGTCAGAACCCCAGACAGAACTCACTTGAGGAGAGAGCACCCTATGGCCAGGGCCCAGTGGATCCATACAGGTGCCTGGCTTCCGTTCAAGTGTTTCCTCCATTGAAAACTCCACATGTTGCCATATCTGATGGCATAAAAACCATAGCTCTCCTCTTATAGGGAATACGAGCTAGTTTATTCTGGAGGAATTTTGAGTGACTGTGGCCCAGAAAAAAAAAAAAAAAAAAAAACAGATTTAGGACACCCCAAACTCTATATTGCAATATGGAAGCAGTTTCACCAAGTTTTTGTAGTTTCCTAGAACAAAGATGATAGTCATAAATCAAGACAAGTTTAAAATATATTGGTAGGCACCTCAGAGAGGTGGGCACAGCAAGGTGGGCAGGACTTTTATAGGCCCAAGATGCTATCTGATGGCGTTCTTGCTTTGGGGTTAAGAGGAAGCTAGCTGTCTGTTAATAGATTCCAAAAGATACCTGTTAGTCAGGGGATGTTAATTCTGGCGTGGCAGAGGGCAAGGAGTAGCTGTACCAGAGCCTAGAACTAGCCCAAGGTAAGACAGTTAGTGGCTGGACTGACAACATTCCCACCGTTGCACAGAACTGGGGTTCTAATCAACCTATCAGCCTCTGCAGACACAGCTTCCTTCCAAGAGTTCTTGTTCCCAGGATCAAACCCAGAGCTTCCAGCCTGCTGGGCAAACATATATTTATATGGTGTGGTCTATTTGTGTCTTGGGCTGTACCTGGAACGAACCAGGCGCCAGTCAGGTGGGTATAGTTACCCCAGAGAGCACAGGCGGGTTCAGGGATCTTGAAGGTCTATCATCTGCCCACCTGGTGGCATGCTGACACACTGCTCTTCCCTCAGAGTGGCCCGAGTTCGTGAGGAACTATGCCCCGTGGTGGGCCACGCACACGCTGGACTGGCTCAAGTTTGGCAAGACGGTCCTGGTGGTGCACTTCGAGGACCTGAAACAGGACCTGTTTGCGCAGCTGGGCCGCATGGTCAGCCTGCTGGGCGTGTCGGTCAGGGAGGACCGCCTGCTGTGCGTGGAGAGCCAGAAGGATGGCAACTTCAAGCGCTCCGGGCTGCGCAAACTGGAGTATGACCCTTACACGGCTGACATGCGCAGAACCATCGCCGCCTACATCAGGATGGTGGACGCCGCGCTGCGCAGCCGCAACCTCACCGGGGTGCCCGATGCCTATGGCCCAAGATGATGGGCAGCCAGGGAGGGGCCCAGTACCCCCACACCCCACGGCTTCAAAGAGCTGGCTTCCCTCTGGCATGAAGACAGCTCCAGGCTTCTGCCTGCCTTCAGAGAGGCCCGTCCTAGGTCTGGGGAGGAGACATCCAGACGCCTTCCCCCTGGAGAAGTGTGGGGTGTCCCTGTCCCTGCCATTGATGGGAGAAGGGAGATGGTAGTCATGGAGACGACAGTGGTTAGGAGGTTCTGAATGAGGCAGCTGATGACCCTCCCAAGCTGACTATGTGGGCCCCTGCCTTTTCCCTGAGCAAGCACTGGCTCTCTGATCTCTCTCAGGCCACCTCTGTGTGACAGGCAGACGGCTGGGACCTGTTTCCGTTGCCTTGGGTGTCTGACTTCTGAGGTACAGAGACTGGTGCTTTGGCACCACCGTGGCAGCCGCCCCCAGGCTAAAGCACATAAGAGACCCAACCTGGGTGCCGTTCCACCTGTCCTGGGCGCCAGAACCCTGTCCTGCCTGCCCGTGCTGTGTCTTGGGGGTGGGGATGACACTGGGGTTCTTGATCCTTCTCCTAAAGGCCCTTAGGTACCAAAAAACCAACCCAACAGGTTGGCTCTGTGCCACATACAAAGCCCAGCGACCCAACTTTTGCAGGGTGTGGACCAACACGGCTATCTTAACACTGCCCTCCTGATCCCTCAGCCAGGGCAGAGAACAAAAGAGCTCCAACTCGGAGCCACGCCCAAAACAGTCTGCCTACCCTCCAAGCCATCAGCCCCCCCTTTCCTTGCTGGTAGCCCAACAGGCCCAGTCCCCACTCGGGACTCCTTAGAAATGGGGTAATGGATGGCTCTCGATCTCCATTGTACCGCTGCTCTCTCAATGCTGAGACACCAAAGGATTTGTGACTTGAGTCACTGATCATGTTTTTAAAAGCATGCATCCAGGATCCCGTCTCCCCAGGATCCCTGTGGCTTCCCCCTCCAGCCCGCACCTTCGCCACTCCCATTGCATAAACGTAAAAGCCATAGTCACGGCCCCCTCGCTCTTCTGTCCGGAGCAGCCACTTAAGTCTTGGGGGGGGGGGGGAAGACAGTCGAACCCTCGTTCCCGCCTAGCCAAGGAACCTTGGAAAAGGTTCTCGAAAAGAGATCTATATTTTTTTAAAAGGAATATGACCAAGACATTCTGCCCCTTGGACACTGGCCACACCAAAAAGAAGGGCCAAAAAAACACTGGACCTGCTCCCCTTCTCAGATGCCCTCACCTGGAGGGTTTGGGCCACCCCGGGGCTCAGCCAGGGGGCTCTGAATGTATTTTGTACGGTGTTTCCCCACCCCAGACTAATTTCTAGTTTTCTTTCACTGGCTGGTAGAGGGGCCTGTTCCCCCTCCTGCTTAGAGGTTGGCTCTTCCTGAGATTCTCTGGTTCCAGACCCTGGGCTGTAGTTCCTTGCTAGTGGCCACCTCTGGTCACGAACTTTCTGTTCAAAGATTCCTCAGGTCAACAGTATCATTAAAAGAGTTTTGTTGCTAATTCCACCACATGGCCCTGTTATATGTGGGGAGCTCACAGGTGAAGTGTCTTCCTGGGTGTGTGTGTACAAGAGGAGAAGGTCCAGGGGACGGCTGGGGTGAGGGATTCTCTGGGTGTGTGCATACACGTGGGGGTGTCCATTGGGAGGCGTCTCTTCTGTGCATGTGAGTGACAGAGACCCTGAGTGGCCGCTGTACCCTGTCTCTTCATTAAGCAAGCCAACGAGAACACAAAGATGCCCAGGGACCCTGTGGCTGCCGCCCTCAATGTCTAAACCTCCACCCTGGCTTCTCTTACACACCAGAGATGTATACTGAACCATGATCAGTCTTAGACTCATCCTAATCCTTATTGCAACTCCACGTTGACTGAGTCCCAACGCTGCTCCTATGCATACTGAGCCCCGCTCCTAGCTATCTGACCACTGTGTTCACAGGCTGATCCCTAACTGGCCCCAAAACAAGTGCCATTGATGTCTCTTGACTCGACCTTAATCTCTGTCACCTAACTGACTGTAGGTGCTAAGCCACAGTCTGGCGTGGGATGAGTCTTAACCTCGGTCACATGTGGCCTAATGTGATCTCACATCAAGGCTTGACTGGTCCTGGTGGCCTAGTCCTGAACTAATGGACTGTCTTGCTTTGAACCTGAGTCCCATCTGTATCCCCAAGGCTACCTTCACCCACCCAGTCCTAGTAAAGGAAGCCTTGTGGCATTTAACTGGCTGGGATTCTTGTCTCAGGATCACAAGGAGCCGTTACATCCAGCTCCCCCTCCTCCCTGAGGACCCAGTTCGACACCAGGGTGAAGCTGGGCTGAAGCCAATGCCTGCTCTTCCTGGGGCCATCTGGAATCAAATCTCTAAATTTTGGACTTAGGAACTAAAGTAGCATTTTTTTTTTTTTTTTTTTTTTTTGTTCACTAACTCACACAAAAGTCCTGAGCATGCATTTTCAGTGCAACAAGGACCCTGAGCCCCCTTGTTTTCGAGACTAAAAAAGGATTAGGAAGTCCCCATTCCTGAAGAGTTCACATCTTACCAAGTACCATCAGAATCAGAAAGCATTTGGGGAAGAGGACAGGGAGGCCCCTGGCGACCCATATGAACCAACATGGAGATTTGTTTCAGAGCTAAGGCTCTCACTGTGGAAAGTAACATGAAAACCAGCTTGTGGGGAAGTGGAGGGAGCATCCAGTCTGGATCCTGCTGTTCTTCCCACAGTGACTCCCAGACTCAAGTAGAACAAGGCTGATCATTGGAAACAATTCCAGATTTTCCCAGGAGCCCTGGAGGCGGCTGCTGGATCGGTGTGGGAGGGAAGAGAGATGCAGGCAGGTCCTCCAAGGACTATCCCCCCTGGCAGAGACCCAGCCCCTCTTCCCTCCTATCGCTCCTTTGTTTTCTTTCTCCTCATCCCTCCTCCTCCTCACTTTTCCTTAGAGCCATGGTTTCCCTCTTTGAGGTCCGATTTCCCTCAGCTGCCCCAGGTGCCTCTTTCCTCTTCCTGTCTCTCCGTTTTGCTCTGTCTCCCTCACCATCAGCTCATCTTGGTCTCTGCACTGCTGTTACAGGTGTCTCTCTATCCCTACCCCTTTATCTCAGAGTTCTCAACTCCTCTGTCCTTCCCTTCCTCCCTCTCTCCCACCCCCATCTCTCCATCCTGCAGAGTGGGGGTGGCTCTGTGGGATCCAGGCATAGTGAGACAAATGTACCCAGGCTGGTAACCAAGGAAGTGGTTTCCTTAGCAACAGAATCTGTAGAACAGGGGCTGCACTGCCCTGTCCTTAGCACTGCTATTACAGTAATAGGATAGAGGAAGAGAAAGGGAGGCAGGAAATGAAAGAGAGGGAAAGAAACGGAATGGATGTCACGAGCAGTACCTCACTTATGGCTGCTAATGGTCCCCCTGACAGGAAGGGACAGTACTCCAGCACCAGCTCACTGCCTGATGCTTTGGGAACACTCCTAATTAGAGGCGTGGAGGGAGTGAGGGCAGAGAGAGGCAAAGTGGAGGGTGTTGGAGCACAGGACTAGGCCACAGTTAGGAGAGACCGCTAGCAGGACCTGGAGCTCCCAGCCTCAGCAGTGTGCCACCCCAGGAGGATCCTGGGACTGAATGAGAGCACAGTGGGGGGTGGGATGAGGGTGGCAAAGTAGACTCTAGTTTCTGTCCCTCAGGAGTTCACCTAGGCATGGATGGAGGGCGAAGGGTATAAAGCAGGATGCAGGGCTCTCCTATCTCACCCTCCCTTCTGACTGGCCAAGGGAAAACATGGAGAAGGGAACCACCCAGGACATGGCCAAGGCCGGAGAGGCTCAAAGAAGTTAAGTAATTCACTTAGGGGCACAGTGCTTGGCTTGGAACCAGAGATCATCAGAGCCCATTTGGAAGGTGGAAGAGGCAGAGGGTGCATGGGGAGAGAAGAGGGGGAGACACTGACAGACTGACTGACTGACAGACAGACAGCCTTAAATAATTGCTTTGGCATTGTCTTATGCCGGACCTCATGGGATTGCGAATGACCATCTTCAAAGAGCACATCTGTCCAGGCATATTCATTCCCTTCCAGAGAGTGGGATTGGGTCCCCCTTCTAGGCTGCTGTTCAAGATTCAGAGGGATGTAGGAGGCACCGGTGGGGGATGGGGGACGAAGGGCAGAGAGCTGTTCATGGTGACACAGACACATGTCCCATCTCTTTTCTAAAAGCACTGACGCATGGAGGGAGGTGCCCACAGCAATGCTTTTTTTTTTTCATCATCTTTGCCAGCTTACTGTTTTCTTTAGATTCACAGCCTGCAATCTGCCAGCATTCGGGGGAGATGCCTGAAAAGGAGGACACACCTCAGAACATGGAGGAGAGTCAATGATGGGGGGTGTCTCTGCCCCACCCCTGACTTGCCTCTCATCTCAGGAGTAGCCACATCCCATCAGGCCCCCAAGACCTATCTGTAACTGAAATGTGAGGGTCCTGAGGGAGGCAACATTGTTGACTCAAATAGCTTTGGGGTGGTCCTTGCTGTTGGCTACTAGACTACAGGAGACAAACAGTCAGCTCAAAGGCAGAGGAACCACTCGCTGAGGACCTTCATGAGTCCAAAAGTCAAGGGATGGCGGGAGGAATCTGTGGTGAGGATTGAGGTGGGCACTCTGCCCGTTATTATGGCCACCAGGCATGACTACTAATCTCACATCTTCTGAAGCCAACTGTCCAAAACACTGGGCCCAGGTCTCAAATCCTCCTGGTGTAAGGACCACAGCAATGGGGGAGGGGGGCTGGGGTCGTGATCCTGTGAGCTTGCCAGTGTCACGGATAAAGAAGTATGTTGATACATCACTCAGGCACCATCCGAGGAGTGGTGCTGAGGACTATGGCCACCACCCAGACCTGTAACTACATCTCTCAAACTCACTAGGCATCCAGCACATAATAGGTGCCCAGGAGCTCCTGAAGCAGTCGTGTTCATGTGCCTGAGAGGAGGCACAGTCGGCAGCCAGGGCTGGCCGGAGCTAGCCCTTGGCAGCCTAGGCTCTGTGCCCCAGAGATGGCTCCCACTCTCAGCCCCACCTGAGCGCAAAGCTAACAATGTAGTGCAGCCCCTCATCCTGGTCCCCGGGAGTCAGCTGTGATGTCTCCCAAGGTCACAAGCAGTGATGTCACATGGGAACTAGTCAGTACTACAGAGCCGATGGATATGGGGAGGGGGACCACCAGCCTCCCACTCCTTACCGATGAGGCTCCCAAGGAGCCTAACACCCTGTGACTCACAGGTGAAATCCCCTGGAATGTTTTAACTTAGCAGAACCCCAGCTTCCACGAACCCAGAAGCTGAGAGTGTCATCAGAGAGCACTGGAGACCTACAGCTAAGGTTCCTCTACCTCACTGTCGCCAGCTGCTCCCACGACTCCACCAGTACAGTCCGGCTAACGTAGCACAGCTTGAAGATGGGAGTGGACTTTGAACCCAGGAAACCTGGTGTAGTGGTTGGAATGAGAATGCTCCATAAGTTCTGTGGTGATTTGAACAAGAGCGGCCCCCACAGACTCACGAATTTGAATGCTTGGCCCATAGAGAGTGACTATCAGGACGTGTGGCCTTGCTGAAGTAGGTGTGGCCTTGTTGGAGGAAGTGTGTCAGTGTGGGGCGGGCTTTGACTCTCCTATGCTCAAGCTACACACAGTGTGACACACTTCTGCCGCCTGCGGATCAAGATGTAGAACGCTCAGCTTTTTCTCCAGCACCATGTCTGCCTGCAGGCTGCCATGCTTCCCGCCATGACTAACCCTCTGGGCTGTGAGCAGCCCCAATTAAATGTTCTCTCTTTATAAGAGTTGTCACGGTCATAGTGTCTCTTCACAGCAATAACTAAGACAGGCTAATGCATTTGAATGCTTAGTCCCCAGGAAATGGCACTGTTTAAAAGGGTTAGAAGGAGTAGGAGGTGTGGCCTTGCCGGAGGGAGCGTGTCGCTGGGGGTGGGCTTTGAGGTTTCAAAATCCCAAGCCGGTCCCAGTGTCTCTCTCTACTTGTGGACCAGGACGTAGCTCTCAGCAACTGCTCCAGCACTGTGCCTGCCATGCTGGTCACAGACTAAGGCTCTGAAACTATAAGTAAGCCCCTGATTAATTGCTTCCTTTTATAAGAGTTGCCTTGGTCGTGGCGTCTCGTCACAGCAATAGAACAGTGACTAAGACATCCGGTTTGAGAACCTACTTTTGCAGTCATGCACTGGCTGGTAGGTGTGGGGCAGACATGAGGCCAGGAGAAGGGAGCTGTGGACCTGACAGCGGGGAGGGATGTTGTGGATGATGGTCTACCGAGTAGCAGACTGCTGCAGAACGAAAGAGGTGGGAAAGAGACGTGAAGCCCCCGGTTGGGCTTTGTGGGTTTGTCAGGGCCTCTGGGATTTAAATTGGGAAACAAGAAACCAACCACGCAAAGCTGTGGTTTCCAGTTTCACACAATGGAACCCCAACTTCCCAAACAGGGGTGTTTAG